TTGCCCAGGTGATGGAATTTATGGCTCGCTGAAAGCTTGTCTGCCCTAAAATAGCTCTCTTGCTCACAGTGTAAACCAGCAATTTATTCCTTTGGATTTGAGACCTGGTGCTCAGCAGTGCACGGGCGGGGGCACGTGCAGGTTGGGGAGAGGCAGCAGCAACCATTCCGGATTCTCAGTCCAACTGCTCCTTTCCATAAGACCTTGCCAAGAAATCTCCTCCCCGGTCTTACTCCCCCATCTCGAAAGTGGCGATTCTTAATGCTCTTTCAAGAGCCAAGGGCTGTCTCTCCCGCCGGCCAGGCTGGTTCATTTCAGGAGCGCCTGCACTCTAGGCGCGGCCCTCAGAACGCGTCTCCGTGCAACGCCTCCCTCTGTGGCGGACGAGATTCTCCCCATCACTTTCCAGATGACCATGCTGAGGTTCCCAGAGGTTACGTGACGGATTTACGATTACGCAACCGTTAAGTTCCAGAACCAAGACTCAAACACACGTCTACCTGACTCCGGGAACCCCTCTGCGACAGGCCAGGTGTCAGGGCTGGAGCTTTAGGCCACCATTTCCCTTTTATGTTGGAGCAGCTCCGGTTCAGCTCAATGCTGGTGGTTCCAAGTGTGGGTGGGAGCCATCTGGTAGAGGGGTTGTATTTGGGGATGCCTCCCTGAGGACTTGGGGCCTGCAGCAGGGAGGTGTTTCTGCACTCCCCTTTGTGCCCAGGGCACTGCCACCCATGGCACTCACAAAAGAAACCTGCTTCCAGGGAGAAAAGCCTCCCAGGGCTGTCCCAGCATGGCCAACCCAATTTATAGAGGCAGATTTGCCTAGGGCAGGTGGGGGCAGTGAGGAAGAGGAGAAACGGGGCAAGAGAGGAAACGGAGAGGCCACAAGGTCGCCAGAGTGCTCAGGTCAGAGCATAAAAAAGCCTTAGAAACCCTACATGTGAACATTCTCGAAGGGTGTTCTGTGGAACCTGGAGGTTGTCCAGCCACAGCCAGCTCGCAGAGTCCACACTTGAGCCCTTCTGAAGTCACCGTAGACGAGATCAAAACAAAAAATCTGTTTGGGAGCCTCCCTGGTGGCGCAAGGGGTTAAGTCTCAGCACTATGAAGCAGTCCGCAGCCACTGTGGCCTGAGTTTGATCCCTGGCCAGGGAGGGGACCCACATGGCGCTGCTCCCCTCAGCAGTGACTTTCAGTGGATCCACCTGTTCTGCTCCCCACTCTGCCCGACTCTGGCGAATCCTCTCACTGCCCTCCCCCACCACCACCTCTGGCCTACATCCCACTTCCTATATGCATAAAAATAAATCTTTAAATAAAAATCTATTTTGAATTGGCCTACATTTTCCAAGCCCACTTGGCCATCTACGATATGATGACCATCTTTGGGAAACCCAGATTTAGGCTTTTACAAATGGCAAGAGGAATGTCAAGAGCAAGGCTGACAAGGGGGGCAGAGCCTGCGCAAGAACCGGCAGCTGCTGCAGTGCGAAGCAGGTCATCGCTGTTCGCTCGTCTCCCGGGGCCTGCTGGAGAGGACGGAGCCTCCCGGGTGTGTTTCCAGGACACGAAACCACTTAGTGTCAATTGGACCGTCTGAAATACCTTCTTGATACACATTATAAAGTTTGAACAATGAGCAGTGTTTAGTTTCCTCCCCATGCTGGTTTTATTCCAGGCAAGCGTTTGTTAGCTGATTCTGTGTAGGTCAAAAATGGATTCACAGTAAAATGGTGCCAAATATTTTAAATATCAAGGACAGATGTAACATGCCACAGGCTGCTGACAGATGTACCAAGGCGTTCCCCACTCTTTAAAATAAACGACTGCCTGAAAAAGGGACAGTTTTAAATGGAAGCATTCTTCCCAAAACAAAAGAGATGCTTATCATCTACTTCTTGTCTTCTCGAAAACTTTGTCTAGAAAGTTCTTTAAAAAAGCTGTGTGAGGTGGGTTTGTGGCGGGGGTGGGAGGGGCAAGGAAGATGGAGGCGGCTGATGTGAACCCAGGGCTACGCAACAAACAGGTTCAACGAAATGTTACACGAAAACACCACATGAGAATATCTGAGTGTTCTCTGACTTATCTTGAGCTGTTTGAGGAAAACAATAAAGATGGGACACCAAGTTAAATGTTAACAGGACTGGGAAATCATTTAACTTGACCCACACAGGAATTTTTTAAGATTAGAAGCACTTGAAAGGTCGGTGAGGCGCCTCCTGTCTGAAGGTTGGGGAGAGAACCTGGTGACCTCCAAGTCTCCTGCGGAGAAGCCTGGCCCCGATCTGGCATCCCCACCCCCACACTCCCGCCTCTCGGACCCCCGCTGTCTTAGCACAGCCTCTCCTCTCCCTCCAGGTCAGGGCTCAGGCAGGAACTGCGGCCTGGCTCCTGGCACCAGCAGGGTGCACTGTCCCCCCACAGCGGGAGTTACGGCTTCTCCTGCTCCCAGCAACACTGCTCTGGGCCTGTCATCTCTGCCTCCTCCCAGCCATCTGTGCCCCATCAGGCAAGTCAGAGCGCGTATACACCGATACTTCGCCTCCTTGTGGTTATCTGCGGGTCTTTCAGGGTGAAGAACACCATAAAATAGCAGTTACTGCCTCTAGAGTCCAGGGCGTGGCTGTGCAGCCCACGGGAACTGCTCCAGGCATCACCACGGCGACAGGTCAGACACCCACCCCTCCAACCTCTGTTTTCTTTAGAGATGATATTTAAAGTACAAATTCTGAAATGTCACAACTGGGAAGGAGAAATTCTATGGAGGGATGAAGGAGGTTGCTGGAACAGTATTAATCAGGAGTTTCCTATATTTTTTAAAGTCAACAATCACACAGAAGACCTATCACCTGCCAGGAGCACAGGTACCTCCACCAATGGTCACAATGACTGGACAGAAAATTTAGCCCCATTTTAAAAAAGGAAACCTGAGAAGAGTTAATTTCCCTAATTTTGGTTGTTTTCTTGTTCTGCTTCTTGACAACTTTCTCATGCCTGATGCCAGAGTAACGGGACTTCTGTGAGACAAAACATCAGGATTAGAATTCACTAGAGTCCACACTATGCCCAAGATCCCAGCTGCCCTCTGTGCTGCTCAAAATCCAGAATAGGTAGGAGAGGGTTTCCAGAGTGACCCAGCAGTGAGGGCCCCTACGCAGACAACACGCGAGTGGGCCTCCTACACACATCAGGACATTTGCACAGGTAAGTCAGGGCCTACCAGGGGCCCTTGCCACACAGGTGATCCTCAAAACTTTGGATGCCTAAAGAGGAAAAGGCGCCGCTAAGATGGGGAGTGGCAGACACCTCCACGAGCCTCTCTCAGCAAGGCACTCTGACCCCTCCTGCCCCTGTAGCAAGGCACTCTGACCCCTCCTGCCCCTGTAGCAAGGCACTCTGACCCCTCCTGCCCCTGTAGCGTATATGCTCCCACTAGGAACCAACTCTGCTACTTTGGCTCCCCTAACAAGAATGACTCCTCCAGCCTCCCTGGTGGCGCTAAGACGCAGCAGCCTATGGAGCTGTCTGCAGCCACTGCAGGATGAGTTCGATCCCCAGCCAGGAAGGAGACCCCCATGGCGCAGCAGACCTCTCCTGATGCGCCCGCTGCTCCCCTCAGCAGTGTATTTCAGTCAATCCGCCTGTTCTGTTCCCCACTGTCTCTGGTGAATCCTCTCACCCCCCTGCACCTCTGGCCTGTACCCCAGTTCCTGTATGCATAAATAAATCTTTTAAAAAAAACAACAAAACTCCTCCACTCAGGATGGAAAGGGAGAAAGGCAGAACAAGCAACACATATCTTATTAGGCCCACAGATAAAAAGACTCACTTGAACAACTTTCCCCAACTGCTTTAAACACACGCAATGAATACCAGCAGAGCACCAGGACTGGGGCAAACCTGCCTGGGTTTAAATTCTGGCTCTGACCAAATTCTAGTCTATCTGTGCCTTAGTTTTCTCATCTGGAAACCAAGGCAGGATCATAGCATACCTGCCTCACAGCATTGTTGGGAAGATTAAATCAGGTTATGTAAAACGTCTAGAGAAGGTAATGTATTTGCTATTACAATGTTATTGCAGGTATCATCAAATAAGAAGTATTTGTTCACCAAACCTCCTAAACTCAACTTTAAGGTAAAATATTACTAATTTGTAGAATATTTGTACAAATATTACCAATAATTTGTACAATTGCTGACAGGTGTGCAGAATACGGTACTCTTATGGTGATTAAACAATTTTAAAAAATCACTTAGCCCAATTCTGACCATTAAAAATTCATCTAAGAGGCAGGAAATATGTCGGACGACTCACAAGCCCACTGCCCTTTGCCCACAGCTTGGAAATTCATTCCTCAAAATAGGCTTTCTGATTTTTTTTTGCCCACTGAATACATGAGCACTGGACAAAGACGGTGAACAAATGCCAGATGCCCCAGGACGAGATGAACCCAGAAGAGTGTGAGGCGATATCCCCATGTCCCGACCATACCAAAGATCTGTTGAAGCCCCAACTCCATACCTGTGAGGAAACGCAGCCTGTGCAGATGTAGTCAAGAGGCCACTGGACTCGTATGGGCCCTAGATACAATGACTAGGGCCCTTACAGAAACGGAAAGATGTGGAGACTCATGGACACACAAGGAAAAAATTGTGTGATGGCAGAGGCAGACCTGAGTGACGAGTGGTGAGCGAGCCCCAGAATGCCAAGGATTTCTAGTATGCACCAGAAGGAAGACAACGAAGAGCAAGGGAACACTCTGGTTCACAGCCCCCAGAAGTAACCAACTCTGCCGACACCTTGACTCCCAATTAATTTCTAGCCTCCAGAACAATGAGAGAATAAATCTGTTGTTTTAAGTCACACACACACACACACACACAAATGTTTTTTCTTTATCAGAACTTCTAGTCATTTCAAGTGAGAAAGGTATATACATTGTTAGCTGTACGGTCTGCTACCCCCTGATTAGCAGACAATTCAATGTATCTGTAGTGCGATGATATAAAGAAACTCACCAAAAATTATAAGCAGTCTGGATTCATGTTTATTGAAGCCAGTAATTAGAGACATCTTCTTTTCCAGCACTAGAAAGCAAGGTTCCACATGACTGCATACTATGTCCAGATCGAGCCACACCCCTGGACTAAGGCTGGTGGGGGAATAACCTGCAGTCCTCATTTTAAGTTAAAAACACCAATAAACTTAGTAGAGAGACAACAGTGAGTTTTCACCTACAGCATCAACATTGCTAAGGTCATGATGTACAGAGCAGTCACTTTCAATTTGTTAAGCTAATAAAACACAGTATCTTCAGTTTAAATACTGATTTTAAAATGCCAATCAAAAACAAAGTGCAAACAAAATTAAATAATTCTAGCAGCATACCCGTTGCATTTTTAGGAAAGACCAATTCAGGGCCTTCTTTGAGGCCCATCTTCAAGGTTGGGCTTCTTTGATTTTCCCATTTTAAAGACAAACAGCGGATGCAACCACCATAATGTATACAGAGTCACAAAATTGTCTTTAACAGTCTGCCATATAAGTGTATTCTGCAAATAAAATGAATTTTACTTTGAAAAGTAAAGGCTGTTCATTGGTTGGCCTTTGGTTCCAATGCTTGAAAACCCCCCAGAAACAAAAAAAGATCTCCCCTCCTCCCACCCCCAAAAGAGAACCCTGCAGCTCCCCCAAAGTTGGTAGACTTTGGCAACCACTGAGCAAATGACACTATACATCAGATTCTTCCGCTACTAAGAGCATCCAATTGTCATGAGAAAGTGAAAGCGATCTTCTAAGAACTCTTCCTTCATAAGACAAATGTTTTTAGCATTTCATCGATTTTAGAACATTTTATATTAACACAAAAAGTGCTTATCAGTTTAAACGATGAAAAAGAAACCAAAAGTAAAATTTCACAATAAAATTTAACATCGCACTGTATCCCTCTTACGCATGTGCCTTTCCAAGAGTTTTACCTTGTTTGTGCAGTCACTTATTTTGCCCCCTGCATTAGTAAAGAGGGAGCAATTGACCCCACCACTGGCATAGCCACAGCTGTCTGGCATCTCTTGGTCGCTACGCCATCATTCCACAGTCAGTTTACTGTCATTACCTGGACACTGGTTACTGGAAGCCACAATACATTTAACAAAAACAAAAACAAAAAACTTCAAAAGCAGGGGAAGTATATCTTCAATAATAAAACTGGCACAAGAAACATGTTTTTGTATGTGTCAGAAAGGTAAGTATATACTCAGCTTTCTCTTTAACAGTGTTTGACCTTTACAAAAAAAAGCAATTCCAGACTGTCTTACAGTCTGGTAACATAGGTATGAAGTCATGCCCAGCATTATGTTAGTGGTCAGTCAGATCTGGTATGTAAAAGTAACGACGCCAGGGAAATTATTCTTAGACACAGTACAACATACATTCGTATAAAAAAGTAAACTCCACATAAGTGAATGGTGGTTTTCCCTTGGTTTGACAACAAATGTTTCATACATTAAATTCATGGTAGTGTTTTTGCATTTAAATGTTCTGTGTCATGTATAAAACTAAAAGTGCCATTTCAAATCCACAGAAGTAACTTCTGGAACGGTGGTGTGACATGACAATGTGCATGAATTTGCCGCCTTTAATGGAGACACCTGGAACTCTTATTTCCTTAAGAAAAAAATGCTACATTTTATGAAAAACACAAAACAAGAGAAATGTGTCATTTCCATTTTCAATATAAAACATTCACACTGATTTGTCTATCTGATAGCACTGATCAGACTGGGGAGCTAGGACAAGACCCTTCGCATCAAGGGGACCCTGTGAAGGTTTCCACAGACCGTAAGGCAGGGACTGGTGCAAGCCAATTAATCGGAGTGCAATTAAATTAAACCACCCCCTCAACCTTTGCGTAGCACATTGCATTATGGTAAAATGAGAGGTTGGTCACCATTCGCTATTAGTAGGCTGGTTTGTGGTAGTAAAAAAAAGTTGTTTAATTTAAAAAAAAACAAAGCAGGAGCTATTTAGACACAATTCAAAGTAAACTAATTTTGTAACTGCTGACTTAAAACATCCCGCACAGTGACTGTCTGCCCACGAGGCACATGACGCGAGGCCTGCCCCTCACCTAAGGACATGGCCTGGGCCAAGGTCATGAGTCCTGGGCAGCTGCCATCTTCTCCACCCATGTCACCTCCACCTGACTCAGGCACTCCCCACGTAACAGATCTTTCGAAAGCTACAGATGCATTCAGAAGAAGTCTTATTTCTGTAATTCTTAGTGTTTAGTTTGAAATGCCTCTAAAAACGACTGACTTCCGCTGAACACACAGGAGTCAGCAACACTTCTCACCTCTTCTTTCCTCCACGTCCGCCAACGCTCAGCTTTCCCACCACCTCTTCTCTCATTCCTCCTTTTAGTCGTTCTCTTTCCTGAACTTTTTGCTACTTAATCTGCTTCCCGAGAACAAGTGAATTTGCTAACACACGACTGGTCAGGCTAACCGCCACGATCGCCTGGTCTCATTCGCTCCACCCTGAAAGAAACGGGCCCTCTTTCTGTCCATCTACCCGGCCCTGCAGAAAAAGCCCAGTGGCACTTGCTTCCCACAAGACAGCCACATGCCCGAGAGTCCAAGGGTGATTCTTAACAAAGGGGTCTGACACGTAACCTTCCTAAATGTGCATTTCACACTCGGACAAGCCAATGCAGTAGTTTGTTTTTTTTTTTTAAGTTCATCTCCCCTGCCCCAAAAAACTGATAGCATGTGCATGTGCCATATCAGAAAAATCCTGGTCTTAGCAGATCAATATACATAATTATTTGGTCATTTTACATATGCACTTTTTAAGGAGGATCAGGCTTCATTTTCTGTTGAAGAGTTTGTTACCATGGAGTCTGGTTTTCGAGTCATTCTATCCAATTCTTCCTGAACATTTGTCAACACAGTCTTTTGTCCTTAAAGAAAAAAAAAAGGAAAGAGCAGTAGTTATGAGGGAACAGGTAAGAACTTGGAACATTTAAAATACCGACTTCTGTAATCACTTGTGATGAGAATAATCTCAATAAAATTAAGGAGATAGGTGTCCCCTGGTGGTGCAGGCGGTTGAGCGCTGCGCTGTAAAGCTGTCCGCAGCCTCTGCAGCACCGGTTCGATCCCCGCCAGCCAGTAAGGGTGGCACACAGTGTGGCAGACCTCTCCGGTCGCGCCCACTGCTCCCCCTCAGCAGTGTATTTCATCAGTCTGCCTGTTCTGTTCCGCACTCTGTCTCTCGTGAATCCTCTCACCCTCCTGCGCATCTGGCCTGTACCCCGGTTCTTGTATAAAATGAATAAATATTTAAAAAATTAAAAAAATAAAGGAGACTCTTTCTTATTGTAATGATTAGGAGGAAACAGACCTTAAACCAGCTCTTCTAAACTCCAAACACGAGAGGTCTGTGTCCCTACAGCCATATGACTGCCCTCTGCCTGGGGATGCCCCTGTGCCAAACACAGGGCTGAGTGAAACTTCTCACTACCCAAACCCAACTCTATACCAGCATCACCATCTTTCAGTAGTGGCAGCAATTTCCCCACTAACAGACTGTTCCCATTTGAGATGATCTGGTAGGTTATCTTTTGAGTCTGGGAACGTTATTACCATTCATTTACAGTGAAAAAAAATTCTGAGTATTCCCAGACCCCCAAAATAACTTACCAAATCATACCAAATAGAAGCAGTCTACTTTCAGAGAGTTGGGGAGAGGTGGTGAGGTCTGTATTTTAATTTGGGGAATGCAGCAAACTTCTTTCTATGTCTCAGAATAGTGAGTGTTTATAGGTTTTGTTTCTAATTATTCTAGACTGGCTCACATGGATAGCGTGGAGACACTGTTTTGTGAGGAACGTAAGACCAAGGCCTCACACTGTTTTGTGAGGAACGTAAGACCAAGGCCACACATCTCAGTCTTGCACAATCGGAGCTCTTATTTTTTTTTTTTTATTGTCTGATATTAACTAGGGCCTAGAAATGATCCCTATTCTTGCAGAAAATACCAGTTGACAGCCTGGGTCACTAGACCAGACTCCGAGTCTCTAAAAACTCAAAGTCAAGGCTGCATTGAGGGTAGAAGGGTCTCCTAAGGGTCACCTTTAATTTGCAAACACCAACTAGGGAAAATGGTATATTAACAGACCTTATGACCAATGGAAAATTAAAAGCAAAGATGCTTCTAAAATGGCCTCAAGTTTCCAGGAAAACGTATAATTCCCAAAGAATGTGTACACACTTGCCCTCCTAGCCCACGGGGGAAGACATGTGGGCAGGCCGCCAGAGCAGTGTGTGTGTGACGAGGGAGCCTCATGGAGGAAGAAATGACGACCCTCCAGAGAGACAGTGAGGGTTCAGAGGCTCCAACCCATGATAAGACTAGGGGCAATGGAGTCTGGGCACAAAAACCCATGCAAAGCATCACAGAACATTATAGAATAAATAGTGTGATGGCACACCGCAGACCATAAGCACCAACTGGGAGCTTCTACAGCGGGGCCATGTTTTTGGTTCTGGCTCTATCTCAACTCAACCGACAGTCACATCCCACAAGGGGAACGTGCCTGAATCCACCGTAGTGCAGCGTAAAGTGAAGACTGGCTTCCTTGCTTGGCTGCTCAAAATGAAGAGGATCTGCAGGTCAAGTGAAAGGCGACACTACCGTCCGCTGCCCCACCTTCCACCGCTCAACCAGAGGGGTCACAGGTCTTCGAGGGCCCTTCAGTACCTGACTTTTTGGCTGTGCTCTGCACCCCACCAGCACCAGGACTTCCAGGAGACCCTGTTTTTTTACTCAACAGACTGTTGAAGAAGCTGGCCAACACCCCTTCACTTGCTGCGTTATCTAAGGAAACATTAAGAACAAAGCATCACATAAACATATGACTTAAAACAAAAAGACATCCTATTCAGCTGGGAACTATCCATTTGTGGCTATCACCTTGCTCGCATACTAAGCACATTTATTTGCCATGATTCTTATGCATTCCCACATGACTAAGCGGGCACCTGTTTATATGTGCCACCTGCTGGGAGACAGAGCAATACCCATGCGCCACATCATTTCCTTGTCCACGAGGCAGTATTTTCCAAAATTTTCTAAGTCCTTAACTCTCCAAAGCTGTTGTGAAAAGCTCTCATTCTTGATACAAGATACCCATCAAGCATGCAAGAATTAAATAACATTTTATCTTGAGGCTTTTATTGCAGGCAACACCTTGGAGTGATGCTAAGTCACTGGAGTAAGGGCTACTAAAAGCAGTAAGTCACTGCACTTGACAGGAGAAGTAAGGGGGAAATGGCATACTTCATAAATGGAAATAAATATGGAATGAGAAATAAAATTAAGGATGCAATGTACACACTTGAAAATGACTTGTTATGTATTCCTCCCTGCAGGCCTCTGCAGCCTGGATACACAAAGCAAGGTGGGAAGGTGGGAGATGCAGACTCCAAAGGAAGAGTAAGCCTCTGGCTCTGCCAGGCACGAGGCCCCTCCCCGAGTGCGGGAAGTGGGAAGCAGCTCCCTGGGGACGAGAAAAGACGGGCTCCTTGGGCCTCAACCCTCTAATGCAGCTACCCAGCCCCCACGGGTGAAGTCTAGAACTAGCTCAGTCATCCTCCAAAGAGACACAATACGTACTTTTGATGTTTGGGTCTGGCTTCTTCACGGACGTGCCAGGAGAGGCGCTAGGTACGCTGGCTGGTCCTCCCCGGCCCTGGGTTCTTGGAGAGCCAGAGGGTCCTCTTGCAGGGGATTCCTAAATCCAAAACCAACCCAAGTCACACATAGGCATAAGAAGAACAAAAAATACAAATCCCAAAAATGGAGACATGCGTCTGCAAGTCTAGGGAGAAGGCACAGGCCCGGGAGTCTGCTTCCAGCTCAGGCCCTTTCTAGACCTGTTCCTCCTGCAAGAAGGGACATCCAGACAACAAAGCCTGCTCTTACTCATTCCCAGAGCTGTGTTCCTGCATCAGGCAGTGGCCGAGTTCCTACTATGTTCCTGGCCCTGGCCCTTTAGGGACACCAAAATACAAAGTCCACACAAACATAAGCTCTCACAAATAACTGCATAGAGTTTGAAGACACTGGGCCTTGACCCTGTTTAGTTTTAGGTACTCACGGAGGCTCTCGTGGGCGTGGCTGGCTGCTTGGCAAGGGATGACTGCAAAGAGAGGGACACACTGGCCATTAACCAAGGCCTGCAGAATGCACTGAGCTCTGGAGAAACACTTCCTCCCAAGTATTCCACTAGAGGGCACCATTTACAATCAAGCCATAGATTTTACACTCTAAGTGTGAAATAGTTGTATGTGAAGTTTGGTATATGGTGAAAAAACAATCCTCCAAATAACCAGTTTTGAAGCCAAGGAAGCAAGAAGAGCACAGAAGGAGGAACAGTTGGCAAAAGCACCATCAACACCCCCTGCTGGCCTGCCTGCGCCATCAGGCACACCCATGACATGGGCAACAGCTGGAGTGAAACAGAAAGGTGAGACTGGATTTGCATTCTGAGCTGTCAGCTTGGGAAGTTACTTTCCTCACTCACAAGGTAAGTGTGGCAGCTCACCCGCCATCACTTAATCCCACACAGCCCTGTATGGGACTAAGTGAAATAATGGAAGGGAGGTCAGGGCACTTAGTAAACTGTCAACGCAGGAATAATTATGCTAGAAAACTGACCTTTCCAGAGAAAGGGGTACTGTACTTAAAAAAATACTAATCCCTGCAGGAGGATCTGCAAGTCAGGCGGGACTCTCGGAGGAAGGGAGTGTAATCCCTACCCTACCAATCCTAGAAATGGGAAGGAACGAGAGAGAAAGCTGGCCGCAAACCTTTTGATGCTGTGAGCTCTTTATGATACCCCCAATCTGCCCCAGGGAACTGACACTTCCGCAGGAGTCTGCTGCTCTGGCCTCATAGGTGTTCTTACCTGTTGTTTCATTAGGAACACCTGTTCATCCTCTGCCGCCAACTCCTTGTCGTGGACCAGCTGTGAAGTGAAGCCACACACTTGTTTGTGGTGACAGGTCAAGAAACCCAGAATGCTAACAAAATTGAGATTCAAAGAATCTTGGGCACATAGGTCTCAACATGAATCTGGGGCAGGTGGTAGCTGCTGAGACTGCTGAGCTGTGCTTTCTTCCAAGATCAACCTTGACATGTGGCCCAGCGTCAAGGCAAGTTCTAAACACCTCCCGCATCAGGGTCTCCAGGAGATCACAGGAGGAAGGGGATCTACTAACAGTAACCCAGAGGCAGCAGCACCATCAGGACTTACATGGGAAACTCCACCCCAACCTGCTATGGGCGCTCCATTACCACTCCTCACGCCCCAGCACGCAGAGCCATTCCTGTAGCACCAGAAGCCATTGAAAGACTTTTTATAAAGGCCTCTGAATTATTCACCCCTCCCCCCCCAAATAATTTAATGTGTAAATTATATTTACACAAAGTTTCCCCCCCACACACTTGTTACACACACACACACCCTACAATTCTAGAATGATCCAGGTACCTTTCTCACAGGAGGCTTCACAATAAAGTCTTCATACGTATCTTCTGGCTTCACGGTTGTGAAATTTTCATGTAAAATAGCTATTTTCTTTTCATTGTCCCAGCCTGCAGGTCTGAAGGCAAGGAGACAGAGACTGACTCGCTTGCGCTAAGATTGCTTTACAGCACACTCAGAGCACGCTCCGGGCTTGAGAGGGCTCCTGGGTGAGATCCCTGCCCACAGGCTGGGGTCTGTGGTTGCTGGGGCTGGCGGAGATGCTGCAACCTACTGCACGATGAACCCATCAGACTGACATCGCAGGCCCTGATTCATACTGCACTCACGGGGCTCAAGGAGTAAGAAGCCAGTATGAGGTCTTACTGGTTACACATGCTGACCCACAGGGAGTGTCCAAAGCTTTCCACAACTCAGCCCAGGAGAGTACAGATGCAAGAGGGCTCTATTCTGACAACAGAGAATGCAGAGAGCAGCACAGAGAGAGCTCAAGATGGGACCATTTCTTTTGGGTTTGGCATGGGGGAACCCCTCCTGCGGGCTCTTTCTCTGAAATGACTTCTTTCTGTTAATATTTTGCTTGATGATTGGCTCAGTAATTCTGCTGGTGTGGGAAGAGGAACACTGGAACCAAGCGGCATCAAGGTCCCAAACCCAAGGGACAGGAGTCCCTGAAGCTCCTACAGGGGTGCTCTCCAGCTCGACCTCACAGGGCACAATGGCACCTAGGTTCCATTAAGTTAACCTGCAGCCTGTGGCTCCCATGGAATCTTCTAAAGGACCAACGGTAAAACGGCCTATGTGACATACTTTTGAACTCCAGAAGCTCTAGTAGATGTCCATTGTTTCTCCTAAGCCTGTCATTCTCCATCCAACTCTTGCACTATCTAAATGGCTCTGCGTACTTCACCAGGTCCCAAATAGGCAACGAACAAAGGAGCAAAGGCAACAGGGATAGGGTAAGAAGGTAACACTGTGACCCCTGCAGGCTTCAGAAGCTGTGAGGTGCTTCTGTTTAGACCAGCACCATCCCAGCTGTCTCCTTGCTGCTATTGCTTCTCAGGATCACATGTGATCTGAGCGCTGGCTGAGCTCCAAAACACACCACTCTGAGTGTGTGCCCACTGCTCTCATCGAGGATCCTCTAAAATCACTCTAAGGTCCAGGTTTCACCCTTTTAGGCTTCTTAGAGACTGTCCCTTCTGCCCCTCCATTCCTTCCGCCTGGTATATACCATTCATCCTTCCCACACCACCACCCTGGCCTTCCCTGCCACACTGCCTCTACCACCCCATTAGTGCCCTCCCACTCAGCTGTACGTGTCCCCTACAGTGCCACGCGCAGTGATCAAATCTCAGTGATCGTGTCCTCAGCATGGAACTTGGGCACCTGGAAGTAGGCTTAGTATTTGGTGAATGAACAACTGCAATTCTCTTGTAAATCAGGAGGCTAAGCCTAAAGAGCAGTCTACTTCCTAAGCCTTCTAAGAGACCACATCACTTCTTTGTGCGTCCCCAACACTCACCTTTCTCTAGTGAGAAAGATGGGCAAGCAAGTACCCAAGTCTCTATCCAGGATAGTCAACTCCAGAGAAGCCCAAAATGTGAAATGCTAGACACACAACATTCAGTACAGCCGAAGCCCTGCAGAAAGGGGTGCCAGCGAGGGTGGCTGCAACCGCCACTGCAGTGGGCAGAGAAACCACACGCTTCAGCAGAAGACATTAAAGACCCCCAAAGCACAATTCCCTACATTTCAACTCCCTCCCCCAGCCAGTCCTCTACCAGCTTGACTGTAAGTGGCAAAGATGGCCAGCTGAAGTTCTGGCCACTTCCTCTCAATGAAGAAAGGCGGCACCCCTGACCCCCCACCCACTTCCCTCAACTGAAGATGACAAGTAATCTGGAAAGGAGCAACGAGGGAAAGCTGGGTGCATCCATCACTTATGAGGTCTAGCCTAAGTACTTTGCTACAAGGCAAGAGAAAGCTGGCCAGATGAGAGGCAGGTCCATATTTGGAAAGATAAAATGTAAAAAGCAATGTACTCTAAATATAAAGAAAAGAGTTTGAAAGCATCCACTATAAAAACTTACATAAAAACTGCATCCTTTTCCACAACTAAGGCAGGTGTGGTAAAGTGGAAACCGTATGTTTTATGAACAATGTACTTATACAACAAATCGAGGTTTTTCTCTTCCTTCACTGATGTGTAAATCAAGGCAGCTCCATCTAATCAGCATGCTTAAGGAAAACCAATTCACTGCAGGAGACAAAAACAAACACATACGAGCATAATCCTCGAAATATTACACACAGGTTGATCAGCTTTTGATCAATATATGAACAGAACGTGTTAAAGATCTAAATCTGAAAAGGTAATAGCAGATGAGTCAGGTCAAAAGCATAAGGCGTGTTGATACCAGTGGGCCGTGCAGTTCATTCTTAACTGCTGTCTTCTGGCCCATCAGGCTACTTCCCAAGAGGACACGTTAATGGCTCTGAAGCTTGCCAGGAAAACACACTCGGGATCGCCACAGTAGATTTCTACCCAGGCAGGTGCTCACATGACCCAGTGTATCATTAAACATACCCTGTAGAAGAGGTGGACAACTGCATGTACCCGTGGCACTCACTGGGTTAGACAAGCTAAAGAGCTGCAAGAAAGGGGGAGGAACCCATCCCATCACCCCCACTGCAGGGCGTGAGACTCTGGCATCAGTTGCTATTGGATTTTTGCAGAAACCACTCAAGACACCTCTGACACAGCATCTCTCTCATGACTAGCACAAAATACAAACATATGGGAAACACTTGTAGCATCTAAAACATACCTGTACTGGGTAATCTTTTCTGTAAAAATGCAAAGTTTAAGATTTCTAATATAGGATAAAATTATCATAAATAAAATGACCACCTATCAAATTTCTTTTTAATACAAAAGCCAAGCAAAGACACAGCATTAAAAAATTAAAATGATCCAAGACAGGCATGCCGATAAGTCTCAAAGGGCAATGAAGTAAAACATAAAACTAGAAAAAAGATGCAGACAATTTCTCCCTGGTAGAAGGTTCTCCTGGATTCAGGAAGTGCTTTACCTCACTGAAGATGCCCCACGTGGAAGGAAGCCTGGATTAGCACAAAGAGAGGGGAGCCCATGACCCAGGACCCCACACAGTACCCCAAGGATACACTGCAGGCAGAACCTCCGGAGGTGTGACTGGATGAAGTCGAAGTGCTCATCCCGGTAGTCGTGCTCCTTCTCCAGGATGCTCACCGCGTCGCACTGCAGGGGAGAGAAGAGAAACGAGTCATCTTTGCACCTCTGCCTGCTGAGGATGGAAACAGCATCTTTTTCAAAAATAAAGTATCACAGCTCCAAAGTCGAAAGCTATAGTCAAAGGCTAAACATAACTAAAGAGAGTGAGCGGCAGCGGGAGACTGCCATCCTTCCTCTGGTCTTGGCATCCTGATCTGTCATCTGATGATGGGCCTGATCACCTCAAACACTGCCCCATCAGGAAACAGGTCCACCGGCCGTGGCTGCTTCCGCAAACTCCGTACTCAGAACAGGCAGCAAAGGGGCACCTTGGAGTTGGACAACCCAGGAATAAAGTGCTTCTCAAGCCCAAAGTGTTTTTAAAGGTTTTTTTTTTTTTTTCCCTTTTGTAAGAGACATGAGTTTCAAGTCTTAAAAAAAAAGAAGAGAGATTTATTTATTTATGCATACAAGAATAGGGGTGTAGGCCAGATGGTGCAGCAGACCTTTCCTATCTCGCCAGCTGCTCCCCTCAGCAGTATATTTCAGTAGATCCATCTATTCTGCTCCCCATTGTCTCTGGTGAATCCTCTCACACCCTGCACCACTGGCCTATACCCCAGTTCTTGTATGCATGAATAAATAAATCTTTGAGAAAAAAAAATTAAATTTTAAAAAGTTCATCAAAGCTCCTGAAACTTTCTTTCAGATGGTGGTTTCCACTAGCCAAACCCAGCCATGCTGCCAAGGCCCCGGCACGCACCTTGGTACACACCACCAACACAGGGATCCCCAGGTTATGAGTCAGCACGTTGTCGCCGAGAGGCAGGGCAACATTTTCTTCATCAGCTCCTGAAGTCAGAGGCCCTCTTCTCTGTGGGGAACCTTGACAACTTTCTTCAGGTTCGATATAGTCTTGAAAATCTTTCATAACTACAGAAGAAGAGGGAAAATTACACATGCACGCAAATAAAAACATACATGCCAGCTTTAGAAAACTGGAAAAGGTAGCAATAAGCACAACCTTCCCAGCCATAGCCTACCATGACACAAGGGCTGCTGCAAAGCACCAAGCCTGACATCTGTCTGAGCAGTGTAACTTCAGAGCAGCAAAGACCTTTTCCTGTACAGCTTCAACCGCATCCAATTCTTAAAGTTTTTTAAAAACATCTAAGGTTGAAATACTGAAATAGTTTCTACCATGAAAAAAGCCACTCATATAGCTTCCATTTTCAAAATATCAGAATGGTAGGACTGTTATGTCACAGAAGTTACTAGAAAGCTGTAACTTCTAAAACTCCTCAAGAGTCCTCACTAGGGCCTCCCCTGGTGGCGCAGCGGTTGAGCGCTGGGCTGTGAAGCTGCCCGCAGCCTCTGCAGCGCCGGTTCAATACCCGACTGCCGGCGAGGGTCCCACATGGTGCGCAGACCTCTCCTGCAGCCCGCTGCTCCCCTCAGCAGTGTCTTCAGTCCATCTGCCTGTTCTGCTCCCTGCTCTGGCTCTGGTGAATTCTCTCACCCTCCCGTGCTTCTGACTGTACCCAGCGCTTGTATAAATAAATAAAGTCTTTTAAAAAATAAATAAATAAAAAATAAAAGAGTCCTCACTAGAAAACCACCTGAATTCTTACACCATGCTGAGGTGCGTCAGCACTAAGGCATGGCGCTGGACATGCCCTGCGTCATCCGTATTTCCTCATCATCCTCACTCTTGAGGGTTTAGTCTTCTCTTTACGGGCTCCTGAGTCACAGACTCAGTGCTCACAGGCCTGTTCCTGCCTAACACAAGAGGTCAGTGGTACAACATCCACTTCCTGGCACACAAAGTCACTACTTCTGTCAAGGATGCACGCCTACAGGAGGGCCTTCGAGGTGAGTGGTGGGTCCATGGCCTTGTTTAAGCCAAGTGCCCACAAAGCCCACAGACCTACACCTTTCCGCGGGCACCTGTCAAGCCAGAGAACAAGACATGATGATGAAAGCCAGAGGAGCACACATCTTCCTCTACGCTTCCACACCCAGCCGGAGTGAAGGGCCAAAAGGCCTGTTACTCTCATTCACACCGAGCTCACTGCACAGTGCAAGCAGCTGAGACAGGTACACACACTCTTCTTCACCTGTTTAACAGGTTTCAAATATTTTAAAACAAGGAATTTTAATTTACAAAGATTTTAGGTTATCATTACATGAGCTTCTAGAATTGTCTGGGAGCTCACTGGCTTTTTTATAATAATGGCCAAACAGTTAAGCCAATTGACTAAGCTCTAAAGTGTAGCTGTAACTTTCATTCTACAGACAAAACATTCATCTCTACAACTTCTCTTTAATTAAATGCATTCATATAATTTCACTGCCAATGTAAATATACTCGCGATCTTTACTGCGTTTTGGACAAAACGAGGGAAGACTTCCCGGTGAACTCAGCACGGTTGTTGTAAGAGCTGAAGAAATCAAAGGTTCTCACATTTTCTCTTTAAAAGCATTTTAACAAGTCTTCAAACAGTGACAAACAAAAAGGCTTGAGTGTCGAGGGAAGATCATCTGAGACGCTCAACCAGGGCTTCCAAGACCGTGAGCTCGGCAGAGTCTGGAACAGGTTACAGGTGAACTGCGTGACTGTGGGGAGTCTGCTCTGGGAGCCTCCATTACCCAGTGTGCTATAAACCCTGCCTGAATCTACCTGTTCCACAGTGTGAAGACGGCTGGGAAGTGCCGGGTTAGGTGAAGCACTCTTGAAGGGACTGGCTTAATTACAGCTGTCCAACAACAGCAGGAAAAGTCCCATGTTTTTCTTTAATAGCTCAGCATTTTTGGAAAACAGGTTGGAAAGCAAATGTTCCTAACAGGCTAGTGAAAGGGAAAGACAAAACAGTGAGGACCGCGCCCCTCAGAGTCAAGCGTGTCCCCTCGGGAGGCCAGGTCACAGCAGAGGCCCCGGGGCCCACGGGCTCCCCTTCTGCATCAGGGGGGAGTGGGTATGGGAAGGAAGCGGAGTACTCTGCCCACACTGCAGTTGCCTCTTCCTCCTCTTTTCCCTCCTGCCTCAGTAATCCTCCCCAGAAACCGCAGACAGCACCTTATCTTTTTCTTCAAATAGGCAATGGAGTTCACAGACAAAAAGCTAAAAAGACACGCCTAACCTAGATACAGCAGCACCTCAGGCGGCACGGGGATTGCTCTGCCCTTCCCTCAGACACTCCGCTGGGGGTCTAGCCCTGAAAGAGGGGCCCCCTTTGGAGCCCCCTTCCAAATTCAGCAGACTGGAGACTGGGCTGGATGGGAAGTAAGGCTGGCTGAGGGCCCCTCACTAACTCGATACTATACCTAGAGCCCAATTAATCTAGAAAGTGGGAGGCCACTGAGCAGCAGGACGGCCGACAGTTTGATTAAAATGTAACCTAAACTCAGCACTAACAAAAGCGCTCCAGCAAGCAGCGCACAACGTCGGGAGCAGCAGCAGAAACGAGAGCTGGTGAACCAGAGGTGTGAGGCCGGACTCGGCTCCAGCCACCCCCAGGGCTCTGCGGCCCGCTGTCTCCCCCACCGCCTCCTCCTCCAAACGGAACAGAGCCCGCTACGCAGAACATATGGCCACACAGACCACACTCCCCAGCCTCCTTAGAAAGACGGGCATCCACCCTCCCGTCCTCGTTGCCTCTCCTGCGTCCTGCTGCCGGACACGGATGTGAAGGCTGGCGCTGAGTCGTCGTGGGGAGAGAAACACACCCCGGGAGACGACAGAGCGGGAAGCGGAGAAGAGCCGGGGTCTTGGAGCTGCTGTCCTAGAGAAGCTCTCTAGGCCTGACCTGCCGACCTCTGAACCTCACTTACAGGAGAAAATACACCTCGGTCTCGCTTACGCCACTGTTATCCTGGGCTGAGTCACATACAATCTAATCCGAAGTGACACAGACATTAACGATAAAATAGATTCAGTGTGTCAGAGGAACACAAGTCCAGGCATCTTGCGCGCCGTGTGTATCCCTAAGGCCTAGAACAGTGCTTGCTGCATGAGAGGTGATTTCCCTGTCTGGGAAAGAACATCCTTGGCTCGAACATTCTTTTTATGTTTTATTTTTTTCCAGATAGTAAATTTACTTTTTTTTTTTTAAATTATTTTTTATTGAGGCAAAGCTGGTTTACAACACTATATATGATTTAGGGCTGGAGGGTCACACTGTTCCAGTCTTTTATGTTTTAACAAAATTTTATAAGGTTATGACTAAGAAAATAGATTCAGAAGCTAAAATCTCCAGTGCCTTAACCCACTAATCTAGGAATGACACTAAACGTACTGCAGAAAGAAAACTGCTCATCAGTCTGAGAACTATTCTGAGAAGCTGTCTGTAGGGTCTCTATTTCAGAGGAAAAAGAAGCATTATCTAGAAAGGTCAGTGGCTGATCACAGACGAGCTGAGCTGCATAACAATCACTGCAGCACACATGCAGGTGGCCCAGGAAAACATACACACAGGCACACACAGGCACACACACACACACACGAACTGGGTGCTAAACTATCTTGTTTAGCCACTGCAAAACAAGTATAAGATGAAGTCAGGGCAGGAAGATAGAAAAAAAACTCTAATTTGAAAAGTACATCAAGATTTCTGATTTTCTTTTGCCAAGAAGTGTGAGATCCAAGTGCCACGCTCCAGAAGTCCTCATCACCTCACTAAAGGGAATGATGTCAGCCCGTGGAAATGAGCCAGACCAGGCCAAGCCTGCTGCTGCTGCCGCCACCACAGCTCCCATCCCCACAGCTCCCGTCCCGGCCCCTCCCATTTCCCTGGCAAGTGGACAGAAGCTGACGTAACTGCACAGAAGCAAGGGAAAGGAAACAGAAGCTTCTAAACCACTTTAAGGAAAAAAACAAAAACAAACTTCCTTTAATTTGAAAGATCTTTGTTCTCAAAAGGACTTGGACGTATGCAATCTTAAAATAGTCTTTCATCTTAATAACCCCACAAGCCTGCAACAGGACCTCTATTTCTAACTAAAATTGTATCTGCTGGACTCCAAAATGAACTAAGGTAGGAGATGAAAGATTTGTCTTTTTCGGGGCTTCCTTTAAATCTGCCAGCGTGCCTCCATGGAATTCCAGGGCAGTGGAATTATGCCATAGAGACCACAGGAAGTGTCCACACCCACTGATGCTAGCTTTGCACAGAGACAGTAATGAATAGCAAAAAAGACCCACAGAACCGATCACGTGTTGTGGAATGAAGGAGAACCCTTATTTTAAAAAGAACCAATGAAGATAATAAGGAATGCTGATTCATTTATTTCCTTTAACTGTGAGACTGGAGATAAACAGTGCTTTGAATATTTTTTGTCTGCTAAATTTATGAGTGCAACCCTGAGATTAATGGTGAAAACAAAACACAAACAACACTCCATAAGGGAAGCTTCGCAGCCTCTTGACAGCATAAAAAGCAAATTGGTTGGAACCATCCAAATAGATGAGTGAACGCTCCAATGGAGAAAATACTATTTTACTTACATTTCCGTTCCAGCTCCCTCATCTCTTCTGGTGGAATTTTCATTTTATCAATATGCTCACGTAAAACACTAGCCCATTTCTGTAGAGATTCCATCACAGTCCAAGGTCTAGACATGTCCGCGACAAAAATGACCAGGGTCTCTGGCAACGATTCAGCAGAAACTGCAAACTTCAACAGGCCTTTGTGGTACAGGTCTCCATCCAGAATCCACACGTTGCAGCGTGTGTGATCTGAGAAAAGACGTAAAGCCGAGTTACTACCTCACAGTGACTTTAGCACAGCTGTAAGAAAAGTCACATCAGGAAGAAGTTGAAGGCAATGGTCATGGAATTCCATGTACAACACAGAAATCACCCAAAAAAGGGCTCAGATACTCAGCAGAAAGCAACCCTTGGTCAAGGTGCCTGGTAAACGATCCAGATTTTTAAACTACCATAACATATATGAAGTGTCCAAATCTAAAAAGAGTCCAGCAATGTCCAAGAAGTGAAAAGTGAAGGTCACTTTGACTTTCAGTAAGAACCAAAAGATACTAATAAAAGCTACAAATGTTCACCAGTCAGTGGTGCCAGTGTCAATCATGCATTTTCCTAAGATAGCAGCAATCTGGGAGGCGCAAGCTGCGCCCAAGAGTCTGTGGTGAAACAAGCTCTTCTTGTGTCAGCCACGTGAAGCGGCACATTCACACGCTACAAAGGGCACCAGAGAGACAGGGCCTTGGTACTGAGATGCCAGGATAAAATCATCGCTTATATTCCTCACAGATGAATCCATGTAATTTGCTTCAAAATAATCCAATGTGCAGTGAGAGTATATGGAAATAAAATTGACCAGAAACTGGGGTAACCTTTCAGAGTGGGTGACAGACGCAATGGGATTCATGATACCAGTCTTCTTTTATATTTTGTTTTCCCTAATAAAAAGTTAAAAACACATATACACAAATGTGCAAATATTGAAATTTAATAAAGTACATCGTTCCAAAACCACACCTGGAAGATCAAACTGTGGGAAACAATACTCCACATTGACAGTACATTCTCTGGCTATTAGAGACATCTTTTCTGACAACTTTTTTGTAATAGTGCCTTAAAGAATGCCTGCCACCAAAAATGCTTCATTAATTCTTACCCAGTAAATTCCAACATACACTTCAAAAATGTGTTCTTTCATTAGCTACCTTTAATGTTAATCAGTTCATTAACACACCGTAAAAATATATATTCACGATTTTATTTCAACAACATAAGACATCTACTTCTAGTTATACAAGCGCTAACACAAAACTTATTCAAAACTCTAATACATTTTAGATAGTGGTTTTGAGTTCTATGAATGCCTTCAAAACACTACCCTGTAACCAAAGCCCATGCCTTTAATGCCTGCCCCTCACCTGGCACAGTTCCTTTTTTGAGCCTCTTTTCCGACCCGTAACTCACTAAAGTGCCTGGAAATCATACCCACCACATGGCACATTAAAAAAATGTCTCCAATCCTGGAAACAGCCATTCTTTTGACATCTCACATCCCACCACCAACCAAGGACAAGCTAGAGATTATTTTCTCTACCTGGGTGACTGGCTGTAAAGTTTATTTTTATAACCCAGTCACAGTACACAACAAAAATGACCAGGGTTGAAAGATATATAATTAATCACAGGTAAGATCAACTCTTTCATCAAAGAGGAACTTGCAAGCAAGCGGCCTAAAAATATCCCATAAATGCAGAAGCCAAGAAGTTTTTAAGGCAACCCTAAAGAATATGAAATAGAAGTTAACATGTACTTTAATTGAAAGGCACAGAATATGCTTAATATGATGTTTTGGCATAAAATATGTTTATGCCATCTTGAAGCAGAAGTGACTACAGAGATTCAAAGTATCTACACCATGTTTGTACTTGAACAAAAAAACACTGGAGCTATCACTGTGCCTTAAGCACTCAGCTCCACCTGACACACACCATTTCTCATTCAGTCACATAACAGATACAGTTACCCAGTCCTACAAGAGGAAATTCAGGTGCAGGGCGGTTTAGTTAGTTAGAATTAGTGATGACAACAGGATTCTCAATCAGCTCTGCTTGGCTCTGAAGCCCAAGTTCTTTCCACAATAAACATGCTATGTAACAAAGACAGGAAGCAAAGAGTCAGACACAAGAGGTCCTTTAGACCCAGCCTAGTGAGTGGCCCCTGAGTCTCAGGCCTACATGCACCAAGTGGACCTAGATGGATGCCTCTATCCTTACATGAAGAGAAAGGCCTCAGCACCAGTCTACTGTTCTTTCACACCCTTCAGGGACTGATCAGCATGGCAATGAAAGCCAGGGGAAGAGAAAGAGGAGGAGGAATAAAGTCTTAGGGTTCTAAGATTACCATTAAAGTTAACAGTGACACAGTGCAGGTCGCCAAGCTTTAACAGGAGAGCCTTACCCATGGCCTCTATTAAACAAATCTTGGAGAGCACAGAATTAGAATGCTGGAAAGGGGCATTCCTGGTGGCGCAGGGGCTAAAGACACAGCACTATCAAGCTATAACCAGCCACTGCAGCACAAGTTCAATCCCCGTCCAGCCAGGGAGCTGACCCATATGGCGCAGCAGACCTCTCTTGCTTTACCCGCTGTTCCTCTCAGCAGTGTATTTCAGTAGATCCACCTGTTCTGCTCCCCACTCTGTCTCTGGTGATGCCTCTCACCCCCCACACCTCTGGCTTACATCCCAGTTCTTGTATGCATAAATAAATCTTAAAAAAAAAACAAAACAAGAATGCTGGAAAAGGCATAGGTCCACTTTCTTCATTTCACAATAAAGAAATGGGAGACAGAGGTGGTGGGATTTGTCCCCTTATATAATCACCCTCCCTCATAATCTTCACTATTTAAATGGGTAAAAGAAAATGAATGTAGAGTAATTTAACAAAGATATTTCATCTTTTGCAGAGATAACTTTTCTACCTAGGCACGAATAATTATTTTGTTATTCCAAACATCTAAGAGAAAGCCTAAAAATTTATAAAGGAGGCATTATTGGATAGTGGTAACCAAAACTATTGCTCCAATCCAACTCATGATGTCATTTATAAAAAAGATTTTAAAAATGACATCTAATCTTTAATAGAGTGTAATCTTTTGCTTTTAATCATCCTAACTACCCTGTAGGGAGAAACTAGCTAGATTGTAGAGATGAAGAATTAAAAGAAAACATTATTACCTCTGAGCCTCTATTCTCTCTGCTGAAAGAAACACAGGCAATTGGCCTTTTTCAACCGAAACTCTCCAGTGAGTAACTGTTAGGTTGTTCTACTCTGAACCTCACCAATTTCATATTCGCCACTAGAACCAGGCAGAGTAACAATGCCGCCCAGATTAGTGTGCCAAGTGCTTCACAGTAAAGTGCAAAGTTTCTAAAAACATCTATCTTACTACTTTACATACACCCGAAATGTCGCTTTTAGCATTTCCCCTTAAGTAGGGGCTACCCACCGCAACAGTTAACAGCCTGATTTCCCATTTTTGCTAAGATTCCCTATAAAGGAAATAGGTTAGTGCTGCAAAAGACATATACTTCATCTCTTCCGTGGTAACTAATTCTCTGAGAATGAAACAGAAAATTAAGAATGCCTGGACATGGTACAGAAGGCAACCAAGGCATCAGACCTGCATACACCCCTTACATGGATTAATGCTTCACTTACCATCTCTGTCCTCATCATGGACACTGAGGTAGAGATACTCTAGGCCTCTTCCTTTTTTGCCATGTTCAGCTCCTTGTAGTTTAGTCATGAGGGTTGTTTTACCTGAACCATCATCACCTACAAATATGACATGTAAGAAGACAAAAAGTACAGTTTATTCTGGGCAAAGCTGGGGAGTCTTGACATTCACTTGACAAGGAATAGCTAAGAATTTCAAGCAAAGTTCGCTGCTGTGGTCTTGCCTCAGGCTTTGCTAAAAGAATGGATGGGGGAGGCCAGTATGGGGTAAAAGTGGATGGGGGAAGGCAGGTATGGGAGGCGAGGGGAGAGGTGGCAAATTTCATCAAAAATGACATTCTACTGGGGCCTCCCCGGTGGCGCAGCGGTTGAGCGCTGGGTTGCGAAGCTGCCCGCAGCCTCTGCAGCGCCGGTTCGATTCCCGGCTGCTCCCCGGCCACCAGAGGAGGGTCCCACATGGTGCGCAGACCTCTCCTGCCGCCCGCTGCTCCCCTCAGCCGTGTACTTCGGTCCTTCTGCCTGCTCTGCTCCCTGCTCTGGCTCTGGTGAATTCTCTCACCCTCCCGCGCTTCTGACTGTACCCAGTGCATGTATAAACGAAACAAACGAACAAATAAATAAATAAATAAAAACATGCCTCTATAAAAAAAAAAAAGTTTAAAAAAATAAAAAAAATAAAATAAAAAAAAAAAATGACATTCTACTGTACTTAGCCTTACCTCACAAGGAAAAGAACAGGGCAGGTCTATGGTGCTACCTACAATTTATAAGAGATGCATGCAGAGAAGTGAAAGTAAAAAGTGGAACTATTTTCTCACAAAATAAACTTTTACCACAAGAAAAACAAGAAATCTCTAAATCTCTCAAAAACCCAAGAACTTTAAACTAAAAAGTTTAAAGTGAAGAATGGGAGCTCTATTCACTTTTGATCTTCATACGTCTCTTTCCTAAGCATCCTAAAGGCTAAGAAACTGAGGAAAATAATTATTAGAGACCAAAGCAAAACTCTTAAGCACAATCTTAGTAATTATCAAGCACCTCCTCATCCTCCTCCACCCAACTACCAACCTCCTCGCCCCCAGGAAAGACTCACTACCAAGAAACATCACTAGGCACCTCTGGGATTTAATAATATGGAATTATAGAACATGGAAATTGAAAGACATGCCACAGATCAAAGGCCTCCTCTCCATCCATCTCAATGCCACTACTTTATTCAGGCCTTCCACATGCCATCTGGACAGTGGTGAGTGCCTGGCAGCCTGATTTCAGTTCCTGCTCATTTTGAACCACCTGCCACTCTGCTGCCAGAGTTCTCTTTCTAAAACACGTATCTGGTGACCCTTAAAGATCTTCAGGAAAAGGCAACAGTTCTTCAGCCTTCCACAATCTGCCCCAATTGACCTCACCAGTCACCTTCCACAAGGAGCTTCTGGCCAACTCCTAAACCCCCGCACTGTCTGGTCATCACTGTGTTCCTGCAAACACTGACACTTATCCTTCAAAACACCTCATCCCCAAATTACCCTTTTTCAAAACAGCACCAAGAAGTGTGATGCTCCCACAATAATCTGCCCGTGCCCCACACGGCGAGTGTAATCACCAACGCATCTGTCCTCACTAGACAGAGAACCTTGTGCTGTCCCAGTGCCTAGGTCTGCCGACTGAATAAACCTACTCCAACTCCCTCATTTGTACGCGGAAACTGGGGCCACAGAACTTAGGGAAGCTGCTCCAGGGCACCCAGCAATGAAAGACGGGGAGATGTGGGAAGTGCCCCTGCGGACTCCCCAAAACCTCTGACGGGGCACCGCTCCTGAAGACGGAGCAAAGGGTCCCTTGGAACATCTCCCGCACACCCTCATTCTCCGGCCCCTCCGCACCCCCACAATCTGCTGCTCGCCGAGGCGCCGAGCGTCGGGCGCTGAAAGGGGCAGGCGGGTGTTGCGGCCAAATGACATGGGGCTGCACCGGCCACCCCTCCCGGGCGGCGGCATCCAACCCAGGCGAGGTGGAGCTGGCCGCGCCCCGGCTGTCCGGCCAGCGTCCCCCAGCGTCTCCCCGGCGCGGCGAGCGGGATCCCCACGGGGCGGGGGACAGAGAAGTTGGGCGCGAGGGGCGCCCGCTTCGCCCACCCCGGGCCCCGCCCCGCCCCGCCCCGGCGCTCACCGAAGACCAGGATGTTCTTGCCCGACGGCAGCTTGGACCTGGCGCGCGTGGACACCTCGCTCAGGATCGAGGACCTGTGGGGCGACGGCAAAGCGGTCAGCGCCGCGGCCGCCCCGGAGCCGACCCGCCCGCGCCGCCCGGCGGTCTGTCCGACGGTCGGTCAGCTGCCCGTCCGCCGCGCCCTCCCCTCCCCGGCCCGGCCCGGCCCGGCCCGGCCGCCGCGCGAGCTCACCACAGGCTCTGGCCCTCCTCCTCCTCGCTGGCGAGGTCGCCGGCCGCCGCCACCGCGGGCCCGTTGGGCCCCAGCAGCAGCTTCTTCTCCACCCCCACCGGCGCCATCTTGCCAACCGCAGCCACAAAGAGGCCCGCCCCCGGCCCGAGGACCCGCGAGGACCCCGCGGGCCGCCCGCCGCCCGCCGCCCCGCGCCGCGCCGCCTCCCTCCCGCGGCGCCCGCGCCCCGCCGCGCCGCCCGCGGGCCCCACAGGGTCGTCGGCGCCGCGGCGGGCGGGCGGGCGGGCGAAGGCGGCGGCGGGCGGCGGGCGGCGGGCGGGCGGGCAGGCGGTCGCCGGGGCAGCCCCGCGCAGGGAGGGGCGCGGGCGCGGCGCCGCCGGGGCGGCGGGCGCGCGGGCGCCCCCTGCTGGCCGAAAAGCGCGCGGGCGCCCAGTCCGGCGGCCCCGCCCGCAGCCGCGCCCGCGGCGCCGTGGGGGCCGGAGGCGGAAGACGCGCCCGCGAAATCCAAGCTTCGGCCGGAGACCAAGCCGCGGCGCCGGCGTGGAGCGCCCGCCGAGTCAAGCCGCGCAGCAGCTGCTGCTTACTCAGCCCTTCTGCAGGCGAGGACTGTAAAGCGCAGCCTTTAAGAAACCTGCCCTGAATCACAAAACTAGAGGGGAACACTTCGTTCTTCCAGTCTTCGCGACTGATGCTAAACTAAAAACCGCGCGTTGAAATACAGGCCTTAGACTAGACCCCAGAGCCCCATAAATATCCCCCTTTCTCCTCCTCTTTCACCCGATTAAGACCGGAGGAAGTGATCTTTACTGCAGTGAACACACTTGGCTTTCTTAAGAGGTTTTTAAAGGTATTTTCGGAGAGACATCACTTGACATTAGAAATCGGTGTCCTTTCTTCAGTGGGAAAAAATGGAAAGAAAATGGAAGAGATGTGAAAGGGGAATGATAAGAAACTACACCCCCCACCCCCATCCACACACACACACACCCCCGCCCCTCCCATGAAGCTTAACCTTAACTCTAGGTGTAGCCTCAGCCCGAGAACTCTTGCTGTCCTCCTTGGAAGCAGACTTGCTTTAACAATGTATTTCCAAATATCAGAAGGACGGGAGATATGGCAGAAAGGCAACCACCTACATGGGTTTCAGATGAATAGGATTCCCATGCTTGGCGTTGCCAAAATTTTGGCAGCATAATGTGTTAGGGGAAAGGATGTCCTGAGCTAATCCCATGCAGGCTTTGTGGACGCCACCCCCGCTCCAGACCAAAGGCATCAGGACATTGGGAAAGACAAATCCCATCACCACCCAAGGGAAGGTGGCGGGGACCTGAGGGTGGAGTTAAGCAGCCAGGTTTGGTATAAAAACCAAACATGTGGGGGCCTCCCTGGTGGCGCAGCGGTTGAGCGCTGGGTTGTGAAGCTGCCCTCGGCCTCTTCAGCGCCTGTTCCATCCCCTGCTGCTCCCCGGCCACCAGAGGGTCCCACATGGCGTGCAGACCTCTCCTGCAGCCCGCTGCTCCCCTCAGCAGTGTATTTCATCGGTCTGCCTGTTCTGCTCCCCGCTCTGGCTCTGGTGAATTCTCTCGCCCTCCTGTGCTTCTGACTGTACCCAGTGCTTGCATAAATAAATAAATAAATAAATAAATAAATAAATAAATATTTGGGGGGGACCAAACACGTGGGCCTTGGGGGGCTCGCCCTGTCGCTCGCCTCCTGGCTTCACGGCTCCTGGCTCGCGGCCAGCTCTCAGAACACCATTTGGGATTCCTGATCAACAGATCGGGTAGGACACATTTAAAACTTTGTCTTCCACTTTTCTCCCTGAACTGTACATTTCCTCATTTCCCCTTCCCTTGTAAATAAACCTTTTATTAACCTTTCGCGTGCGCCTGCAGTGGAGTATTGATAAGTCCTTTTAAGCGCGCGGGTGAGGACCCACAGCCAGGCAACCTGTTTTGTATCAGGGCTGCCCTATAACAAATGCAGCCAACAAATGGTCTCTTATCTGCCAACCTTAATACAAGACAAAGGATGTGAAAATCCACTAAATCACATACCTGGAAGTCTGGGAAAAGCAAAGTGTTACTAATCTTAAAAGGGACAATCACTGTCTGAATTTTATAGGACATAAGATGGAGCTGAAAACTATAGGTCAGTGAACTTCAGTCAGCTCAGGGTGTAACTGCCTCACGTGATCACTTGGAAAAGGAAGAATACACATTGCTATTCTCTTTTAGAATACCAGGTAGGAGGATGCTGAAAACACTGCAAATGCAGATTTCAACAGGGCATTTGAGAAGTCACATCATAGATAAGATTAAGTGAAATGTACACAGGATGATTAACATTGAGGCTTTATAAAAGACCAGGCCCACAGGAGGCTGCTAGGTGCCTGCCCCAACTTCCTACCCTGGCACAGACAATTCAGGGTGCGTTAGTGACTTAGATAAGAATGAAGCAGCACACTCACACTTGTTTATGACCTAAAGTAGGAAATGCCTCATATACTGGATGACAAATGAGTATAGATTAAATCTAACAAGATGAAACTTAACAGGGACTCCCTAAATTTTTGTAGTTGGGTTAAAAACAAATGCCTACAAACAAGAAAGGAATACAAAGTGTATCATTTAAAAGTCTTATCTAGGCCTCCCTGGTGGGGCAAGGGGTTAAGCACAGCACTATGAATCTATCCACAGCCTCTGCAGCACCAGTTCCATCTCCAGCCGGCCAGGGAGCTACCCACATGGTGCAGCAGACCTCTCCTGACTCACCCATTGCTCCCCTCAACAGTGTTTCAGTCAGTCCACCTGTTCTGTTCCCAGCTGTCTCTGGTGAATCCTCTGACCAACCCCCCAACTCTGGCCTGTACCCCAGTTCTTATATGTATAATCTTAAAAAAAAAAAGTCTTATCTATTTAATTATAATATAGTTGGTTATGTAGAATGCCACGAGGACCTTGGTAGGTCTATTAAACCTCATTGGGAAGAAGCTGAGACTACTCTGCTTGTCACACTTCTTTCTGGACAGTTTCTAAACAGACTGTGTTCAGTGGTCATCAGCCCTCATAAGGAGAATAACAGCCATGTTGAAGCTTGAAGTAACATGGGCTCATCGGCATGGCACATAAAGGATGGAAAGGGAAGAGGAGAAGGTGATATTTCAAGGGCTGGCATATGGAAAGAGATTCACCTCCCATGGTTCTGGAGAAGGGGTTCCGGAAAGGTCCATTTCATTTTAGCAAAAGGAAGACCCAACAATCAACTATCACCCTGTGAAGTAGTAAGGTTCAGGTTTCTGAGGATATAGGCAAAATTACAGGCACCAGCATCAATTGTTGTGAAGTTTAAGAAACTATAATCAGAGGTCACTTCCAGTTCCAAGGGTCTGTCATTATTGAAATCATGTTTTTATTCCCCACTGGTCGGGTCTGAATATCAAAATCTAGTATGTTATCAGCCTTCAACTTTCCTTTTGATGTTTCATTTATTACTAAATATATCCATGGAGGGTGGGGGGAAGGAGGAGTTAATATTAACCAAAGGCTAGCCATGGCTTAGGATAAAATTTCAAAAAGCTTCCAGAAGGCAGTATATTTTAAATATACCAGTGACAGGACAGAGTCTAAGTTACAGTATGTCATACACTTGGGGATGCTTCTGTTTTTGTTATGTACATAATTTCCAATAATACAATAATTCACCTAAGACCCACTTCCAGTGGGATAATGTCTTTAAATCATACCTAAACAATGGCAAGAGAAAAACCTTTATCTAAGCCAGTAAGATCGAGGCAACAGAGAAAATGCTTCTCCCTTTGCCTTAAAACAACTTTCATGAATTTTGGCAGGTAAAAATCAAAAGAGCCCAGCAGACTATTTAAATCCCCCCCATAGTGCTTAATATTCGTAAATACAGAGAGATAATGAATTAGATTCACCCACACTTTAAATGTTGCAAGAAATTTTCCTAATTGTAAATGATTCTTTTGCCTTAAGGGCTAAATTACAACTTATATAGAAAGTGTTCAGCTTACTGACCCTTTGGGACTTTCATTGTGGATTGAAATATGGAAAATTAATAAAAATCTTTAAGTAGAAATAGTCATTTGAGAAGGTCAGAGAACATATACTTGTAGGGAAACACCCTTTGGGAGTGCAGGAAATCTACTACAATGACACGAAGCCAAGAGACAATGGGACTGTAAGCACAAGCTGAGCTTTCAGACCCTGACACTTGTCACAGCAACAGCATTTTTAGTGTAATGGAGGCTGCAGTTGCAACTTTTGGAGATCACGATAGAAAAGAGTAAGAAAAATAGCAAACAGATCTACTATCAATAGTTTGGTTTACCACTAGAAGAAAACTAACTTTGAAACAGACAATAATCTTTTCACTAAAAGTTTGAAAAACTAGGAAAAAAGCACTAAAATTATTTCAAACTTTAAGAAAAAGCAAGGAAATACACACCATAAAGAATTGAACCTGACCACAGAATTCAGGAGTATTCAAAGCAACTGTAAAGCAAAGTCTTTAGAAAAGGAAACATTTTAATTAACAAAATGTCAAACTGATTTAGTGTGTGGGAACCTCACTTGAACAGCTTGGCAAACTTTTCTTTCCAAATTCTGGCAAGGAACTTTCACTGGGTAAAAATTAGACTAAAGTCCAAATGTCTTGCATAGTATTCACTGCAATATGTTAAAGGATGTTTAAAGGCTGATAATTTCTTCCTCTGACTTATGTTCTTTGAGCATAAAAGTATTAAAAGCATAATCCTAAAGCAAATGTTTGAATTTATGAAGAAATTTTGCTTATTCATCTACACACTGAAAATGGCTTTGTTCTATGAATTTTAATAATTTGATGATTTACAGCATCACAAAAACAGTTTAATTACAGTTTCCCCATTCTACATTCCCTGTCTCATAAGTTTAGGATATTTCCAATTTTTATCTTCAAGGCTAAACTATGTTCGAACTAAAAACTGACAAGTTTTTTTTCCAATCAGGGAGCCACACACTTGGAGTGCTTGATCAGTTTGTGATATTTGTGAGCAAGGTCCACAGCCTTCCGTCCTTGCTGAAAGGGGAAAGACCACAAAATTGAATTCCAATGATTTCCCATTTTCTTAACTCCACTGAAAAGGTAATTTACTTCTTCTTTAGTAAAGTTTTTACGAATTCTCCTTTTTTCTGTAATTAATGAGAATTGTTGATTAGTACTTGCCAAGAAAAGGGATCTTCTTGAGACTCAAATAAGTGCTGGATTTATTCGAAAGCTAGGAACTAATATAGTAAGAAAACTTCATGCTTAGGCTACTCATCATATAGAAGGCCACTTCAATTTTTTTTTAAAACTGAATGCCTACTATTAACCTAAAAGCTGTCATTGTGACTTTAGTAGTTGTAACGTAATCCTACAGCAACATTACTTGCAACATCTTTCAATCAAGAAACACAAACAGGGCCTCCCCCCATGGCTCAGCGGTTGAGCGCTGGGTTGCAAAGCTGCCCGCAGCCTCTGCGGCGCCAGTTCGATCCCCGGCTGCTCCCTGGTCCTGCATGGTGCGCAGACCTGTCCTGCCGCCCGCTGCTCCCCTCAGCAGTGTACTTCGGTCCTTCTGCCTGCTCTGCTCCCTGCTCTGGCTCTGGTGAATTCTCTCACCCTCCCGCGCTTCTGACTGTACCCAAAGCTTGTATAAATAAATAAATGAATCTTAAAAAAAAAAAAGAAAAAGAAAAAAGAAACAAACATTTATGAACATTTGATAATTCTCTCAGCATTCCTGCAAGGAGAGTTCACAAACAGCTTACCTATCCTACAGATACAGTCTTTCCAAAGGCTCCATAATTTCATAGAACAGAAAAGAGTATCAACACTTGTTAAACATCAAGTTTGATAGTTTAAAAAATATAAAGATCTTTTGAAAATCACTTTAAAAAACATGTTCACTATCTATAAGGGTATTCAGTTTGATTCAAACTCAAAAAAATACAATGGGAAAGGTAGTTTTTAACTCTGATTTTTATGGATACTTTCTACAACAGAAAGAATATACAGTTGGTATCTGTAAACATAACATTTTCTGGTGATGAACACAGGAGTCATTTTAAGTTTCTATATTTTTAATTTAGCTTATTAGATGGTAGCTGCTGAAAAGGAGTTTCTTGCATTTCCACTTATTTACTTTATTTACTGTAACAGGATCTAGAAAATCTTGCCTTGTAAACTGTTCATCATTTGCCCCCTCTCCTAGGATAGGAACCACAGTTCAGATCTTTTAAAAGAGAAATCTTAACAGCAAAAAGCTGAGAAATCAATGAAAATAATGTCTGATTATTACCTACTATATCACTTAGAATGCAAACTCCTCATGAAGACAGGGATTTTGGTTTGTTTTGATCACCACACTGTATCACCAGTGTCTGACACATGGTAGGTGATCAATAAATACTTGTTAAAGGGAAAAAAAGTTATTATTGGATATAAAAAAAACCTTTCAAAACTTTTCAACAAAGTTACTGCTTACTTTTGGGTTACCAGAATGCTGGTTTTCCAAGAAACAGTTGTTTTCAACTTCACCTGCTAAATCATTGGAACTCATTATAATGAATAGAGATTTGAATGTGTTCTTATAACATTCAAGATATTGGGATCCTGGAGTTGTTTAAATAAAGCCAACCATCCTCTTCCAATACAGCTGCCATCTTACTGAAGTTTACACTTAACATCTGTGCCCAATTCCTCAAAGGTTACCTCAGCAGAGTCCTGGGCAGCCCAAGGGGAGGAAGCTGTGCTCTACACAAGACTCTCCCTCTATGATTTCTTTAGTGTTCCTCTGGATAGTCACTGGTGTTAGGAAAGAGTGGGCAAAAATAGGCAAGGAGGCTCTGGAGACTCTATTTTTCAAACTTTCTCAAGATACTTATCTGTACTAAAAGAGAGCCTTGTCCTCAATGTTCTTAACTGCTTAGATGTTGCAGTGGTCATTTCTCAAAAGAATGCCCTCAAATATAAGTGTAACTTGTGACCAAATGACAGCTGATAAATGCCTCTAGTACAAAAGGTAAATTTATCAAGGTGGGGGCAATATAACAAATATTCCTAGCCAGCTTCTGAAAGAGAAATAAAACCAATCTAATCACTACCTCCTCAATATGCCTTTCTAAATTCTAAAAGAGCAAGGCAGATTACTATTTTGTTTTCATAAAGCAATTTTAATTTACAAAAATAGGAGCTGTCACTTAACAAGATTTAGGATACCTCTACATAATCAATGTAAAGCCATATTATGTTATTTCATGAGGTTCTACAAACATTTTCAGTTGTCACGTATTTATCTTTAAGATACATCACTGAAGAAATGTATTAAGTTGATGCCAACTCCTTGCCAAGAACAAGATTTCCAAGATTTTCATTTTCAATGGAAAACCCCATTTCTGACAGTTTCTATAGAAAAGATTACTTCAAAAAGTGGGCTGGCTAACCTATAATGGCATTTTACCAACTTTAATTTTCACGCACAACTTCTAACCTAGTGAAAAATCCAAACAAAAATAAATTGAAATTTCTTTCAAAGTTGTGGCAGTGAAAATGGCCAAATAAAAGTATGTGGCAAAATGTTTCCTGGTTGTATCCAGTCTAAATGTCTTTGCAATAAATATAGAATGGCTCTATAGAGGTTACCAACTTCTAGGCTACTTTGACAAGTAATGGACTCAACTGTTCACTGTTACTCTGAAGGTACTCATTTCATATGAATAATAGGAAATGGTGAGTCTGAAAATTTTGGAATGGTAATAAACCTGAAATGTTAACCGTGTAGTTAAGTTTTTTAAATCCTGTAAATTAATTCACTTAAGAAGTATATTGATTTTTAAGCAGGGCTTTAGGTTTAAACTTTCTCTTCAGTTTTGATTGTTTGAGGTGCTATAGTTATAAGCCAAAACCTTCTACAAAATCTCTCTGAAACACTTGTATATGGGAGAATAATTTTGTTAAAATATAAATGTGATCCAGAGGATAGAGCAGGGGCTTCTAGAGAAATACAGGCTTGCAGGTGAATCTAAGCTTTGCCTCTTATTATGCCCTAAAGTGGAAATACAGTGCTATGAAAATTAAAGGAAGTAATATCTATAAACCACTCAACACATTGTAGTAGCTTAACAAATGTTAGTTTCCTCCACTTCTTCCCCAGCTGATGATCAGTGGGTGAGCAAGCAACCTGAGGAAAGGAAGAAGAAAGTCTCTTTTCTTAAGACATATGACCCTTGTCAGTGCCGAGGGATACCACATCAGAGCCATTAATGAAACTGAGAACAACTAGCTATTCTTGTTCTCAGGAATTTATGAAATTTAGGTTTATTTAAAAGTTAAATATATTCACTTATTCTTCCAGAAGTAGTAGATTCTTTACTGAATTGTCTTCTACGTGGGGTCAGCAGAATTTCTGAAAAATACGGAAAACATTTAGCATGCTTAAAATGTCAATCTGAGTAACAGCACATCGATTCCATTATAGGCTACCTCCTGTTTCTCTCCCTAGGTGGATTAGGAAGAATTTTTAAGCCACCAGAGACTAACTCTACTCCCTGGATACATCTTAAGTGACTAGTTGCTCAGAGACAGATTTTCTTTTCAACACTATTTTATCCTTGTGCTTTTAATATACTTAATGCCCTAGACCACAGTTCAGAAGATATAGCCATAATTACAGTTTTAAAGCTGCTGAATTAATTACTTTTGTTACAAATAAATGATTTCCTTAGTTCACTTTTATATCTGTCTTCAGCTTCCACAATGACTTTGTGACGATCACATTGGTATGGGCAAGAGTGCAAGAGCTTGCTAAAATTTCGGCTATTCAGGGATTTTCCTACTGCTATGCAACCTAAAAGAAAACAAATTAAAGTGATGTATAGATGTCACAAAACAGTAACAAATTTATGAAAGCAAATATATTTCTGATGGTAACAGACGTGTAACCAGGAATTTAGTTACAAATATGTCAAGAAGCTGTAAGTCATGTGAGAGTAAAGACAACAAATACAATACAATGAAATAAATGCTGTAACAGAAGTATCAATAGCACTACCAAAATTTAGAAGAGGAACATTTAGCTTGATCTGGGTCTGAGCAGGAGTCATTAGGGAATAATATTCAAAAGAAGTGAGCTTGATGCCCAATGATGTTATTTTTTTAATGTTTCATTATGGAAAATTTTAAATACACAAGAATAAGGGAAAAGTATAATACAAACTCTAGTTAACTAATAGTATGTAAAGCTTTACTTATGAAACAAATACAATTAAAAAAATATTTACCTGAGCATCTATACTTCAACAGTTTGGAACAACTGTCAGTTGCTAGAAAACTGATAACTTCTTTATTTATTATATCTGAACATAATGTAAATGGATCTGGAAAAAATGCAAAATGCAAGATTTTTTTTAGTATTTCAAAGAATCTAAGAGTTACAAGATTTATTAATTCTCGAGATTTTTTATAAACGTTAGCCCAGTACTACACATTCAGTCATTCTGGTAGATAAACAGAAAGGTTCTAGCTATCAATAGAAGGTGACTGAGGTCAAAAGAGAGTTAAGGGATGGCTTATACATTAGAGCAAAGATATACTAATGTACATTTGTAGCTATGTTAGTCACCTAAACAACTGTTTTCTTAAAAAATCAAAGAAGAGGGCCTCCCCGATGGTGCAGCTATTGAGCGCTGGATTGAGAAGCTGCCCACAGACTCTGCAGCACCAGTTCGATCCCCAGCCACCGGGCAAGGGTCCCACATGGCACGCAGACCTCTCCTGTCTCGCCTGCTGCTCCCCTCAGCAGTGTATTTCATCAGTCTGCCTGTTCTGATCCCCGCTGTGGCTCTGGTGAATTCTCTCACCCTCCCGCGCTTCTAACTGTACCCAGTGCTTGTATAAATAAATAAATAAATCTTAAAAAAAATTTTAAAAAATCAAAGAAGAAGGGCCTCCCCGGTGGCGCAGCGGTTGAGCGCTGGGTTGCGAAGCTGCCCGCCAGCCTCTGCAGCGCCGGTTCTGTAACAGGGTGGTCCCCAGGAAAGGGGGAGGTTCCAGGTTCCCTGCCCCACCCAAGGAAGGGTGGAGCTGAGCAGGAAGAGGAGAAGCTGCAGAAGAGACTGAGGAAGGAAGGAAGCAGGATGGAGCCAGGAGACCTGGAGGAGGCGCATGGAGCCTAGAGACACGTGAAGAAACTGCGCTTGTCTTTGGGTTGTGGACTGGGTGACACAGACGTGGGTGAGACCCATGGGGAGGTGACAATGGCAGCTTTTATCTTGATGTTGATTTTGCTCTTTTCCTTCCGGGCTTGTCTGGTTGTTTCTGACCCTTTTCTGTGGGTCCCCACAGGAAGATGCTTTAGACTTGTGGCAGGCTTTGGGGCCTTGTTCTGGGCCAATCCCATATGGATGGACTTTTACCCACGAGGGGACGGGTAACTTTGGATGCTTCATTTAAAAACTAGACTCTTTGCCTTACCTGTATTGTTTCCTAGTTTTATTAAAGTTCCTTCCCATTAAAGTCTCCTATGTTTTGTGTTGATGCGGCGGATGGCAAAACCCATTTAAAATAGGCAGGTTTGTGGGGCTTGGGCTACCCCTCTCCCTGTCCTATAACAGACATATGAAACAAACACACTGGAGAAACCAAAATCACATTTGCGCTTATGGTAGTCAGTGCCATAGGGAAGCCCAATTTCCCCATGGGGCTGACTAACCACGGATGGCTCTGTCCTAAATCACGTTGGACGCCAAATCTGTTATAGGACAGGGAGAGGGGTAGCCCAAGCCCCGCAAACCTGCCTATTTTAAATGGGTTTTGCCATCTGCCGCATCAACACAAAACATATGAGACTTTAATGGGAAGGAACTTTAATAAAACTAGGAAACAATACAGGTAAGGCAAAGAGTCTAGTTTTTAAATGAAGCACCCAAAGTTACCCGTCCCCTCGTGGGTAAAAGTCCATCCATATGGGATTGGCCCAGAACAAGGCCCCAAAGCCTGCCACAAGTCTAAAGCATCTTCCAGTGGGGACCCACAGAAAAGGGTCAGAAACAACCAGACAAGCCCGGAAGGAAAAGAGCAAAATCAACATCAAGATAAAAGCTGCCATTGTCACCTCCCCATGGGTCTCACCTACGTCTGTGTCACCCAGTCCACAACCCAAAGACAAGCGCAGTTTCTTCACGTGTCTCTAGGCTCCATGCGCCTCCTCCAGGTCTCCTGGCTCCATCCTGCTTCCTTCCTTCCTCAGTCTCTTCTGCAGCTTCTCCTCTTCCTGCTCAGCTCCACCCTTCCTTGGGTGGGGCAGGGAACCTGGAACCTCCCCCTTTCCTGGGGACCACCCTGTTACAGTTCGATCCCCGGCTGCTCCCAGCCACCGTGTGAGGGTCCCACATGGCGCGCAGACCTCTCCTGCCGCCCGCTCCCCTCAGCAGTGTACTTCGGTCCTTCTGCCTGCTCTGCTCCCCGCTCTGGCTCTGGTGAATTCTCTCACCCTCCTGCGCTTCTGACTGTACCCAGTGCTTGTATAAATAAATAAAAATAAATCTTAAAAAAAAAAAATCAAAGAAAAAATATTTGTAATCATACCTGTTACTGGTAGCTGCTGCTTTCTATTTTTGACAATGAGAGTTGGATGTTTAAAAACAGGGTCACTAAAGGAAAACAGACACCAGATTACAATAAACATAAGTGTTTGTTCATATAATGTTTGTTGTGCAGACAAGTGTTTCTGCAAGCATAGGTGTGATTCTGGCAGGCAGGCAGAAGGGGCTGGGTCCAGGATCTAGCAAAATCTAACAAATTCTGACAAGAGTAGGGCGTGTACTGGTTACAGTCTTATCTCTAAAAGTAGAGTTAAATCTTATCTCTAAAAGTAGAGTTAAATCTTATCTCTAAAAGTAGAGTTAAGTGGGCCTCCCCGGTAGCTCAGCGGTTGAGCGCTGGGTTGCAAAGCTGCCCGCAGCCTCTGCAGCGCCAGTTCGATGCCCGGCTGCTCCCCTGCCACCAGAGGAGGGTCCCACATGGCGCACAGACCTCTCCTGCCGCCCGCTGCTCCCCTCAGCAGTGTATTTCGTCAGTCTGCCTGCTCTGCTCCCCGCTCTGGCTCTGGTGAATTCTCTCACCCTCCTGTGCTTCTGACTGTACCCAGTGCTTGTATAAATAAATAAATAAATAAATCTTTAAAAAAAAAAAAAAGTAGAGTTAGGTAATAACACTGATGCCTGCAGAAATATGGAAGAAAAAGATTTTAAAAGAAGAAAGTAAGGGATGAGGAAAAAAAAACAACAACAGAAGAGAATATAATCAGTGACCAAAGGGCAAGCAGGGTGGCTGGAGACCACATCTTGCTGCTTTCTAATTCCACATGCCTGAGAAATCAAGTTAAAATATCAAGATTTTGAAAAGGAAAAAAGTGGTGGTGGGCCTCCCCGGTGGCGCAGTGGTTGAGCGCTGGGTTGGAAGCTGCCAGTGCTGGTTCAATCCCCGGCTGCTCCCTGGCCACCAGAGAAGGGTCCCACATGGTGCGCAGACCTCTCCTGCCACCCGCTGCTCCCCTCAGCAGTGTACTTTGGTCCTTCTGCCTGCTCTGCTCCCCGCTCTGGCTCTGGTGAATTCTCTCACCCTCCCTCCGTTTCTGACTGTACCCAGTGCTTGTATAAATAAATAAATCTTAAAAAAATAAAAAGTGGTGGTGGTGATGTAATCCACCTTCCTGATACATACTTTGGCCTGCAACCTGGCTAAAACATAGCATCATCCTCTCCAGTTTCCCTCCAGCACAGTAGCCATCAGAAGAGCACAAGGAAGGGTATAACAAGAAAAGCTACAATCCCAGGCTAAGCCCAAAGGCTGCCTGTGAGGGAGCAAGCATGTGTACTGGAGGTGACGTGCAGGAAACAAATAAAAGGGCAAGACTAATTCAGTTTTTCATCACATCTCACTCCCTTGATCACCATGAATTACAAACGGATTTTGGCTACAGGGATGATCAATTATCAATGCATGAATTGTTAGTTAGGTACAAGATTTCAACTCAGGTTTTCTTTTCTGAGTATCCTATCTAAAATTCAAATCTGATCATATCAGTCAATTTAAAATTATCAAAAGCTCCCTATACTCTATGAGTTAAAACTGAAAATTCTATGACATAAAATGCCCTCCATACCTCTTCATTCAAATTCCTTTCCCTATATTTGCTGTTTTAAAATAAAAAACAAGGGCCTCCTTGATGGTGCAAGGGGTTAAGATGCAATCTATGAAGCTATCCACAGCAACTGCAGCATGACTTCCATCCCCGGCCAGGGAGCAACCCACATGGCGCAGCAGACCTCTCCTGACTTGCCCGCTGCTCCCCTCAGCAGTGTATTTCAGTCAATCCGCCTGTTCTGTTCCCCACTCTGTCTCTGGTGAATCCTCTCACCCACTACACTTCTGGCCTGTACCCTAGTTCTTACATGTGTAAATAAATAAATCTTTAAAAAAATAAAAAATAAACAAAATGAAAAACAAAACTATGCTTTATCCTCTCTATATTCCAGTACTTAACAGTGTGGCACACAGAACTGAATAAAAACATTTATGGAATAAAGTTAGAAATAATCATTAAACTATACCTTGAATGAGAAAGAAAATCCCTTTTTTCAATGGTTATTTCTTCATGTAAGTTTTGATTGCTGTTTGAATTGGTTTCATGTAGAGTCTTCTTTTTCCCACTCTCCCTATAACAAGCATTAACTGGGTTTGCTGTCTTTAACAGTGTCTTCATTCGGTCATCATCTTCACAGGCTGTAGGCATGACTCCACGGGACTGACAACTCTGCAGCTTTCCAGACTGGCTTTTATCCTTATCTTCTGCTTTGGGACCTCCACCAATACCATCTGCTTGGAGGTATTTCAAAGTATCAAGAATATTTATATTCACAGATGAAATCTTATCATTATATGTTTCTCCTTGTATTTTTTCCTATAACATGAAAATGACAAGTAAATAACTTAAAATAATCTATTTGTTTTGTAATCTAATTTATATTCCCTTTAAATAAAGGAAGTTTAGGATTGTCAATAGAATATACATGATAAAAGGAGTAGTTAACATTAGGAAGAAAAAGGAAGTCTATTCAATAAGCAATTTGGACAAAAGGGTAGTTATCTGGAGAAAAATAATTTGAATCAATATCTGATAATTTACACATAAAGTCAAAATGAACTAAACATTTAAATATAAAAAATGGAATTATATGTTTTATTTTATTTTTTTTTAAAGATTTATTTATTTATTTATTTATACAAGCACTGGGTACAGTCAGAAGCTCAGGAGGGTGAGAGAATTCGCCAGAGCCAGAGCAGGGAGCAGAACAGGCAGAAGGACCGAAGTACACTGCTGAGGGGAGCAGTGGGCGGCAGGAGAGGTCTACGCGCCATGTGGGACCCTCGCCCTGTGGCCGGGGATTGAACCGGTGCTGCATAGGCTGCAGGCAGCTTCGCAACCCAGTGCTCAACCGCTGCGCCACCGGGGAGGCCCAAAAAATGGAATTATATGTTTTAAAAGAAACATCATATTTAATATTCTCAGAAGGAGAAAGACCTTCCCAAACATTACACAAAGCCAATAAAATATAAAATAAAAAACTAATATATTTGACCATACCAATTTTTTTTAAGATTTATTTATTTATGCATACCAGAGCTCGGGTACAGGCTAGAGATGCAGGGGAGTGAGAGGATTCACCAGAGACAGAGTGGGGAACAGAACAGGCAGACTGACTGAAATACACTGCTGAGGGGAGCAGCGGGCAAGACAGGAGAGGTCTGCTTCGCCATGTGGATTTCTCCCTGGCCAGCCGGGGATCAAACTTGTGCTGCAGAGGCTGTGGACTGCTCCATAGTATGGTGCTTAACCCCTTGCTCCACCAGGGAGGCCCCAAATATTTTTTTTAACTTCCCCTAGAGACCAGGAACAATATGGGTCGTGGGAGGGATACTCAGAGAAAAAAAGGCCAGAAGCAAAACACAATGAAATCAAAATGCCCAGAAAGTATGTATACAAATCCTATCTTGGTCTGCAGTACAATTTTTCTAATCATGTTTGTTAAGAGCTACTACAATGAAATATGTAAAAGTTAAACAATAGTTAGAAAAACAGACAAAAGAAATGAACAGTTCAAAGCAAGGAAATATAAATATCCCTTAAACATATGAAAAAAATGTTCCAACCCACCTGTAATAAGAGAAATGAACATTAACGCAAAACTGAATTATTTTTCTATCAAAATCAACCTATGACATTGGCAAAGATTAAGAGAGTATAAAGACACACCCGAGTACATGACAGTGGGAGTGTAATTGGCAGAACTTCTAAAAAGAAACTCTGTTTTGTTTTTAAAAATGAAGACAAAAAAGCATAGCAAAATATGGGAATATGTGTATGTCTACATACATGCATAATCCGCATCTCACACACACATGCATATATGTAGAGAGAGAAGAGACAGAATTACTTCTCCATGCTTTTTTTTCCTGAACCACTTTTACACAGATATTATATATCTTGGCTCTGTATTTATGTTTTGTAATTTTTCAGTCATCACTGCCTCTTTTTTAAAATTTCTTTTTTCTACGTTCATGGATAATTTCTCAAGCAATACTATTAAATTTCAAATTTCAAATCATTAAAGTCTTAAAAAATTGGCAAGAGAACAGTTTTACCCTCCAACTTCTATTGTTAATATTTGAAAATTTTTCTATATTCTTTGAAACAAAGAAGCCAACCTCATTTCCTTCTCTCTCAAGCTGTTTTATTCTGTGTAGAATTTCCTTTGCTTTCTTCCAGAAGTCTCCAAGATTCTGATTCTTCTCTTTCATATTTATGTCCTTTAATTGTTTTACTTCATTTTCATCAAGAGAATATTCTCCTAGACTTAATTTCTCAGCTTTGTAATATGGGAAAAAAACAATGAGCTCATCAATTACTAGAAAGGTTAATAATATCTTAAATAAGGACATCCTCATACTCCACACCCCCTTGCACCCTCTCCTTTAAATTTTGCCCATTCAGTCTAGCTTAACTGCCTAAGTGGTACTGAAAATAAGTGCTTGGCAGAAGGCTCAGGACCCAGACAGTTGTAACTTAGACTTCACTCTTCAGAGTTACAGTAAAAAGAATAGCAGGAAAATACATTATGCCAGACACATCAAATACTCAGGTGTATGGATACTGGTTTAAAAATTTTAATTTTTAGGGCCTCCCCTGGTGGCGCAGGTGGTTGAGTGCAGCGCTGTGAAGCTGTTTGCAGCCTCTGCAGCGCCGGTTCAATCCCGGCCTGTCAGAGAGGGTCCCACATGGCACGGCAGACCTCTCCTGTTGCGCCCGCTGCTCCCCTCAGCAGTGTATTTCGTCAACATGCCTGTTCTGTTCCCCACTCTGTCTCTGGTGAATCCTCTCACCCTCCCACACAGCTGGCCTGTACCCCGGTTTTGTAGAAATAAATAAATCTTAAAAAAATAAAAATAAAAAGTTTAATTTTTAAAGTTTTCATAAAGTAGCTCATTTGTATAATCTTTTAACACTCTTTTCACATATTGCAGTGGCAATTTTTCTTCCACAAAGACATAATAATTTCCAAAGACATTGCCCTCCCTCAGTGTTCCAGCAACACTGGCCATCAATTCTGATGCCTGAGACACTTACTCCTCACAAATTCCCTTCTTTTCACCTAAATAAATGCACTTTCAGGTTTCAGGTCAAGAGTCACTTTTTCCTGAAGTGTCTCCTGCTCCGAGTCTAGAGGAGCTTCCTTTATCACAGGGTAAGAGCTGAGCTCCACACATTCTTATCCATACATTCTGATGTTAATTTTAATGCATTAATTTTTTTTTAAGATTTTTTTTAAGATTTATTTATTTATACAAGCATTGGGTACAGTCAGAAGCGCAGGAGGGTGAGAGAATTCACCAGAGCCAGAGCAGAGAGTAGAACAGGCAGACTGACGAAGTACACTGCTGAGGGGAGCAGCAGGCGGCAGGAGAGGTCTGCATGCCATGTGGGACCCTCACCTGGTGGCTGGGGATCGAACCGGCGCTGCAGAGGCTGCTGGCAACTTCGCAGCCCAGCGCTCAACTGCTGCGCCACCGGGGAGGCCCATACATTAATTTTTTAATACAATAATTTTTGAGAGTATTCAATTACTATTTCCCTAGTTAACACTAAGCTCTATGAGTGCACAGAGTGTTGTTTCTTAAAAATAAGTTAATGTACTTTATATTATGATTTATTCCTAAATCACCCTCAGACCTCAGGTTTAAGTCCCACAATTAAATTTTTCTGATTGTATAAAATAAGTGAATTATCTACTGCTCTCTTCTTCATGCTGAAATACACTCATCGTCATGTTCAAATTACATATGCTCTGCTTTTCAAATATAGGAATCTAGGAAGTAAAAGGGCTTGATTCATTGAAGTAAATATAAATTCCCCTTCATACACTTTGGTTGGTATTTTCTTAAAGTAACAGTAAACTTACTAATTTTTTTACAGTTGTGAAGCACAAAAGTGGCAGCTTTGTTTAGTTCCTCATTCTGAGAGTCAGTTAAGGCTTGTATCATGAGTGGAAGTCCATTGTTTTTAAAAAGATCATACTGATTTTCCTCTAGAAAATACATCAAGAAATAAAGTAGAAGATAGTTATTTTATCATAGATTATCTACATGAGATCACAATTCCTTCCTGTAGTAATTATAAACAGCTTCAAAAGTATGTTCATTTAGGAAACAATACCCAAGTCTCACAAGTGATCTCCGAAGCGCAGTCACAGGGTAGTTTCAAACCTCCTAAGAGTAAACAAATTGCCCTCACTTGGTTTATAAAAAGATACAGTAAATCCTAAATTATACAGAGACTAGGAGAAAGAATAAAAAAAACTGATAGAATAGAAAATACAAGGAGGAAGAGAGGAGAAAAAGCTAGAAAGAGGAGAGTGGGCAGGTGTGAGGGGAGAGGAGGCTAGAAGAAAGGGGAGAGAGGAACATGGAGAGGGCTGGAAAGGAGAGTAGAGACAGGGAGGAAGAGAAGGAAGGAAGGAAGAAAGAGAAGGAAGGGAGGAAGGGAGGGAAGGAGGGAGGGAGGGAGGGAGGGAGGGAGGGAGGAAGGAAGGAAGGAAGGTCAGGTAGAGAAGACAGAACTTTTTAAGGTTTCTGGCACAGAAGAACAGGACCAAATCCGTGCAGCAGTGTTAAGAGTGCACTGAGGACAGAAGGAAGGGGCCGCGGAGGAAGCTACTGCGATAATCCTGGAAGAAGCCACAGACTGAAGACCTACTCTGGGAGGGCAGCCCTGGAACTGTGCAGAAAGGGAAGGGAGGGGTAGAAAGGACTACAGTTCTTCAGGACTGACTAAGTTCAATGGCTGAAGAAAGGACAGCAAAATGACTGATTTGGGGCCTGAATGGAAGAGAGGCAGCACTTTAAAGCCCTTCAGATGACTAAGGGGGGAAAGAGTATTTCTACTCCACTGTTTTAGTGCGCACGCTAAATAAATCTAATACTTACCACAATCCTCTGTGCAGTGACCAAGAGTAAGTATTATGCTAAATTTTTCTCCTGAATCCAGACTTTCATGAAGCAGTAATGCCAGTAGTTTTGAAACAATGCAGTACTTGGACAAAACTACCCCAAAAGCAGCTATTAGTATAAAATAGGAAAAAAATGGCAGTAATCACAAACTTAAAAAAACTATACATATGCTATTTTTCAGCTCATGCACACACCATTTTCCAGATCTTGTTCTAGCAGGTTATATACCTATATAATCTCGAATATCCATATCTGATATGCCTTATAAATGTATGTGAATATAAATAAATGCACTGTAATAGGATGGTGGCTTATATAATCATTACTCTTAATCATTACTCTTCCACAGTAAAGGCAATTTACTAAAGTTTTTCAAGAATGGTTTCTTCTTGATTTTCCTGCATAATGTTGTGAATATGATTATTACTAACTTCCTAAAAGCTAAATATGTTTACTCTTCTTATCTAGACTGAATAGTCAAGACCTTTCTATGTAACCTGCCTTTCATGGAATTACACTATTAACTGGTCATGATGTACTGACGGTAAGGATTCAATGAAGCAAATCTGAAGCTATGCTGAGATGTTAAAAAAGTTTTCATTTTAGGGCCTCCCCGGTGGCGCAGTGGTTGAGCGCTGGGTTGCGAAGCTGCCCGCGGCCTCTGCAGCACCAGTTCGATCCCCGGCTGCTCCCCGGCCCCCGGAGGAGGGTCCCACATGGCACGCAGACCTCTCCTGCCGCCCGCTGCTCCCCTCAGCAGTGTACTTCGGTCCTTCTGCCTGCTCTGCTCCCCTCTCTGCCTCTGGTGAATTCTCTCACCCTCCCACGCTTCTGACTGTACCCAGTGCTTGTATAAACAGAACAAACAAAATAAATAAATAAATAACATGCCTCTATAAAAAAAAAAAAAAAAAAAAGTTTTCATTTTAAACTATAATTTTCTTCATGGAAATTTTTTATTTTTTTTTAAGATTTATTTATTCATTTATACAAGCACTGGGTACAGTCAGAAGCGGAGGGAGGGTGAGAGAATTCACCAGAGCCAGAGCGGGGAGCAGAGCAGGCAGAAGGACCGAAGTACACTGCTGGGGGGAGCAGCGGGTGGCAGGAGAGGTCTGCGTGCCATGTGGGACCCTCCTCCGGTGGCCGGGGAGCAGCCGGGAATTGAACCAGCACTGCAGAGGCTGCGGGCAGCTTCGCAACCCAGCGCTCAACCGCTGCGCCACCAGGGAGGCCAATTCTTCATATAATTTTTAAAAAATCTTCATGTTGGGTCTTCCATTTCTTATGTCTCAAAAATGTCCCTTTATTATGTAATTTTTTTTAATTTAATGTAGTTTCTTATGTGAAACAAAGGTTTAGCAATGATGGAAATTTTTCTTGACTATATCACTACACTTGAAGGAAGGCAGGCCTAGATTTGAACTCTCAGAGAAGTCATAACCTCCCTGAAAATGAGTTACTGGGCCTCCCCCGTGGCACAGCGGGTTGAGCACCGTGCTGTGAAGCTGTCCGCAGATTCGGCAGTGCGGGTTTGATCCCAGCCTGCCAGTGAGAATCCCACGTGGTGCTGCAGACCTCTTCTGTCGTGCCCACTGCTCCCCTCAGCAAAGTATTTCTGTTGTCTGCCTATTCTGTTCTCCACTCTGTCTCTGGTGAATCCTCTCACCCTCCCGCACCTCTGACCTGTACCCCAGCTCTTGTATAAAAATAAATAAATCGGGCCTCCCCAGGGGCACAGCGGTTGAGCGCTGGGTTGCGAAGCTGCCCGCGGCCTCTGCAGCGCTGGTTCAATCCCCAGTTGCCCCCCGGCCACCGGAGGAGGGTCCCACATGGCGCGCAGACCTCTCCTGCTGCCAGCTGCTCCCCTCAGCAGTGTACTTCGGTCCTTCTGCCTGCTCTGCTCCCCGCTCTGGCTCTGGTGAATTCTCTCACCCTCCTGCGCTTCTGACTGTACCCAGTGCTTGCATAAATAAACAAACAAACAAACAAACAAACAAATAAATAAATCTTTAAAAATAAATAAATAAATCTTTAAAGAAAGAAAATGAGTTACACTACAAAATTTCTAAGATTCCCTCCCATTTGGGAGAAACTGGAAGTATTCAATCTACTACTTCAATACTCACTTGCTGAATTAAAACAAAAACAAAATGCAACTATAGAAACATTACTTAGCATTTTCACTCACGATTATCAGCAATACACGCATCCACTGTCTTGGTCACCACCACAGCAAGCTTAGCACTGGACACAGTGCTGTGTGAGTCAGATTCCAGCTGCACAAGGACTTGAGACAATATATCCAGTCCACCCACAGACACAAAGTATTTCTGAACCTGTGCTTAAGAAATAAAGTAGCAAAGTTACTAACACCTCAAACCAGACGGACATCAATTAATCTGCCCTAATACAACATTAACTTGACTTTTTCAAAAAAGCCTTAAATTCAAATTCTAATCTTTACCTGTGCATATAATCATAAAATGGATTACTTACTATGTAAGAAACCCACTTGAACTAGTACAACTATATAGTACATCTATTTGTATTTCTTTCTTGTGTTTTAGGTATCTCATTTAGTGATAACATTGTTTTGCAGGGGTCTCCCTGGTGGTGCAGGAGTTACAGACAGCGCTATCAAGCAATTGGCAGCCACTGCAGCATGAGGTCCATCCCTGGCTGGTCAGGGAGCAATCCACATGGTGCAGCAGACCTCTCCTGTCTCGCCCACTGCTCCCCTCAGCAGTGTATTTCAGTCGATCTGCCTGTTCTATTCCCTACTCTGTCTCTGGTGAATCCTGTCAGGCCCCACACCTCTGGCCAGTACCCCAGTTCTTGTATGCATAAATAAATAAAATGAATCTTAAAAAAAAAAAGCCTGAATTATAGCTGGAACAGGAGCTAGAGGCACACTTGTGAAATCTGGCAACAACAAATGCTGGTGAGGACATGGAGAAAAAGGAACCCTCTTCCACAGCTAGTGGGAATGCAAACTGATCCAGCCACTATGGAAAGCTGTGTGAAAGATCCTTAAAACACTAAAAATGGTTCTACCATATGATCCAGTGACACTACTCCTGGGAATAAAGGACACAAAAACACTAACTCAAAGGGAAACGTTTACTCCTATGTTTATTGCAGCACTATCTACAATAGCTAGATATGGAAACAACACAAATGCCCCCAAACAGACAAATGGGTTAAGAAGTGGCATATATACACAATGGAATACCACTCAGTGATCAAAAAAGATAAAACTCATGCCATTTGCAGCAACATGGATGGAACTGGAAAAAATTATGCTAAGCAAAACACATCAGAAGGAAAAAGAAAAAAAAAAAAAACTGATGTTCTCACTTATAAGGGAACATAGGGAAACCATGCAAAGAATCAGGAAAAAGACAAAATTAGCAGGCAAACTAAAGATCTGAGGCATACAGCAGGAAAGCGGGAGGGAGAAAGGTCAAAACAGGGGAGCGAAGAGCACAAAGGGACTATGGTGATAGTTCAAGGGTGCCACGGTCATGGGAGAATTATGAGGACTACCCCTGAAGGGTGAAATCAAACATTGTACCAAAATGAACAAAGATGTAAGAAATCAAAAAGAACAACATGGCTTGTTTTCAAGTTTCTGAGGTGGAAACTAATATAACTGATTTGAGACCTTTGTTCTTTTCTATGTTAGCCTCAGTGTTATATCTCCTTCTGAACACTACTTCTGCAGCATTCTAGTTTTTGAAAATTATATTTTTGTTAAAATTATATTTCAGTTAAAAACATTTTTATTTCCTTTATGATTTTATCTTTGACTCATGGGTTTGCGTTTCTTTTGCTTTTTTCTCAGTATGAGTTAATTTCCATATTTGGGGGACTTTTCTGGAAGTTTTATTTTTATTCATTTCTATTTTAATTCTTTATAGTCAGAGAACACAATCTGGGTTTTTCATTTTACTGTCTAGTTGCTGTGTTTTATGAGGTTATCTGGGGAGATACAAAACTGTGCTGCCACTACCATCTTCCCAACATCCTGGAAAAATCTATATTTAATATTTTCCAATCTACAAGTATCTAAATGCATCTAACATGACTCAGCTTACTGGAATAAAATCACTCCATTAATCCAGCTAATACGATAATTAATTAAATGGGGTTTTGTTATGCTTTGAAATGTGTTTCCATAAGTGCAACCTAGAAAATAAATACTTACTGTTATTTGCAAGAGTGAGTCCAATAAATGAGCATATAGGGCGAATTATCTCAGGTATCATGCAACTTTCTAACCAGTTATTAGCATGTTGAAAAAGTGAACTGCAAAATATTTGATTCTCATCTAAAAGGAGAAAGAGTCAATCAAGCTTTATTATGAGATTTCAAATATATCAGTTTTCAGTTTATATTTTAATATAAATGAAATTATTACCATTCTGAGGATTGTTAACACAGACACACAGAGTACTACACACCGAAGACCACAACTGATAATTCTGGAAAGCATTTTTATCTGACAAATTCACTTCATGTTCTGAAAGAACTGTCCTATTAGGTTAAAGACAAAATAAAATAAATTAATACAAATGTGTTAAAGTCTTAATTAATAGTAAGAAATTTACCCTTGCTTACCTGAACAGCTGTGACAGGACTGTAATGCAACCTGTTTCTCTCACAAGAGTCTGTCCAGTCCCTTAAAAAAATAGCCATATATTACATGAATATGAATTTTATTCAGAAATAGTTTTTGCAGAAATGGAAAATATTTAAGGAGTATTTTAATAGAGAATTAACTTATAAATCGCTTTAAAGTATTACAAAATATAACATGAAATTACAGTAGATAAAAATCTGAAATTAAGGTTATAATGGAAAACACATGTGCTTAGAGAAAGACAGCATTTAAATTTCATCTAAAAATTTCAAAACACTTATTTTGCATGGTTCTGGGTTACAATGCCAAAATATACTCAGAAACAGAAAAAAAAAAAAACCAAAAAATACTATTTAAAATATGTGTAGGGCCTCTCCAGTGGCGCAGCGGTTGAGCGCTGGGTTGCAAAGCTCCCCGTGGCCTCTGCGGTGCCGGTTCGATCCCTGGCTGCTCCCTTGCCACCGGAGGAGGGTCCCACATGGTGCGCAGACCTCTCCTGCCGCCCGCTGCTCCCCTCAGCAGTGTACTTCGGTCCTTCTGCCTGCTCTGCTCCCCGCTCTGGTGAATTCTCTCACCCTCCCGCGTTTCTGACTATATCCAGTGCATGTATAAACAAACAAACAACTAAATAAACAACTAAATAAATAAAAATACATGCCTCTTTAAAAAAAATAAAAATAAAATATGTGTAAATTTTCTAACAATCTTAAGAATTAAAGTTATATTTCAAAAAATAACCTTAGCATGGGAAGTAGATGTAATGGAATTCTCTACACTATCTTTGTAACTTTTCTGTAAGTCTGAAATCATTCCAAAATAAGAACTCAAAACCAAAAGAAAATTTGAGCCAAGAGCTATATGAAATTTAAGGCCATCACTGATCAATAGAGAAAACATTGTAAGTAAATGGCTAATTCAGTGGAAAAGCAACCAAACTAAATGATTTAATGCTTCTCCTTTGCTTTTATTTTTTAAAAAGAATTATTTATTTATTTATTTATTTTTTATTTATTTATACATACAAGAACTGGGGTACAGACCAGATGCGCGGGAGAGTGAGAGGATCCATCAGAGACTGAGCGGGGAGCAGAACAGGCATACTAATGAAATACACTGCTGAGGGGAGCAGCAGGCGAGAGAGGAGAGGTCTGCCACGCCATGTGGGACCCTCGCCGCCGGCCAGGATCCAACTTATGCTGCAGAGGCTGTGTACAGCTTCACAGCGCTGCACTCAACCACCTGCGCCACCAGGAGAGGTCCTGCTTTTATCTTTCTTAAAGATTTATTTTTATTTATGCATATAAGAACTGGGGTGCAGACCAGAGGTGTGGGGCATGAGAGGATTCGCCAAAGATAGAGTGGGGAGCAGAACAGGCGGATCTACTGAAATACACTGCTGAGGGGAGCAGTGGGGAGACATGTGAGGTCTGCTGCACCCTGTTGGTCAGTCCCAGGCCAGGGCTTGAACTCAGGCCACAGTGGCTGGTAATAGTTTAATAACACTGAGAATTTAACCCCTGCACCACTGGGGTAAATATTGCTTTTAAATTTTACTTTTCAATGTTAAATAGTGCAAAACATTTAACTATTTCTTAAATTAACAAATATCAAAGAGTTAAAAGTATGTTATTATTCTCTTCTTTTTTAAAAAAAAAGATTTATGCATACAAAAGCTGGGGTACAGGCCAGAGATGCAGGGTAGTGAGAGGATTCACCAGAGACAGAGTGGGGAACAGAACAGGCAGATTGACGGAAATACACGGCTGAGGGGAGCAGTGGGCAAGTCAGAAGAGGTCTGCTGTGCTATGTGGGTTGCTCCCTGGCCTGTCGGGGATCAAACTCGTGCTGCAGAGGCTGTGGACTGCTTCATAGTGTGGTGCTTAACCCCCTGCGCCACCGGGGAGGCCCTATTATTCTCTTCTTTAAAGCTAGTAGTTCATTTTTTTTTTTTGTATATGTGCTTATTATTTTTTTTAATTTTAATTTTATTTTTATAGTCCCCATACAATTGCAACCCCCTTATTTTGACCCCAATCCCTTCTTTACCCAGCCCCAACCCCCATAGAGTGTCTCTGGTTCATAGTTGTTTGTTGATTTTGATTTTTACTTTCTTATAGTTATTCTTTTTCCTGGTCTCTTATTTAAGTTTTCTAGATTTTAATAGTAAGATAAAAGGATACTGGGCCTCCCCAGTGGCACAGCAGTTGAGCACGGGGTTGTGAAGCTGCCTGCAGCCTCTGCAGCGCCGGTTCGATCCCCAGCTACCGGGCAAGGGTCCCACATGGCCCGCAGACCTCTCCTGCCGCCCACAGCTCCCCTCAGCAGTGCACTTCATCACTCTGCCTGTTCTACTCTCCGCTCTGGCTCCGGTGAATTCTCTCACCCTCCCCCGCCTCTGACTGTACCCAGTGCTTGTATAAATAAATAAATAAATCTTAAAAAAAAAAAAAAAGGATACTGAGATAGGGACTAGAATAAAAAGGATTTTTTCACTTTGTTTCAATTTATTATTTTTTTTAAATGATTCTACAATATAAGAGGAGGTACTTACGGTTATTTGAAACCAGAACCAAAATAACATACACAGTCATTCTTTTCAAATTTGTGCTTGAATCACTGTTAGATAAGAATCCAATTAAGTCTTCAAATAATTCTGAAGTACACAAAGTCTGCTGACAGTACACTGAAACATAAAAATATTTTATTTTCTACATTTATTAGTCATACAACAAAATCTGTGACAAACTGATACGTGCTTACTCAATTAGTCAACTAAAAAAGAAATATGTTAACCTGAAATACTTGATCTAGGCTCCAAAACATGTATAGCAGTCTCTTAGAAATTCCAAAAAAAAACCTAAGTAAGCAAAAATTTAAATATGACACAAAATTTTAAGAGGATGAATATATAACAATAGCAAAAAAAAAATTAAGAAAAATTCAGAAACCTGTTTTAGAAAACAAGGGTATAGATGACATTTGAGCTATTTTTTAAGACTTTTCTAGAAATGAAAATATTTTTCTTTTTTTAAAAGATATTTTTATTTAATATTCTACTTTTATGTCATCTATACCCTTGTTTTCTAAAACAGGTTTCTGAATTTTTCTTAATTTTTTTTTTGCTATTGTTATATATTCATCCTCTTAAAATTTTGTGTCATATTTATTTCTGCCATATACTTCTAAATCATTAAGTTGAATTCCAAGATATCCTATAAATTGTTCTAATTACATTCATATTAGCATTAATCATTGCTCAGTTGACTTAGCATTTAGTCTATTAACTGCAATTTAATTTTAATTTGGATTTTTTTCTCTATATTTGTATAGATCCTGTATTTCAAAAATTATTTTGCAGCATACAGAAAAATGTTTTGATCACTTTTGAGATTTAATATTTGGATTTTTCATTGTCATTTTTGTACAAATATGATATAAATATATAGGGCCCCCCTTGTGGTCTAGGGGTTAAGTCTTAGAGCTATCACCACTATGGTATGGGTTCAATCCCTGTCCAGGGAGCTGACCCACCTAGGACACAGCAGACCTCTCCTGTCTCCTGCTCCCCTCAGCAGTGTATTTCAGTAGATCTGCCTGTTCTTCTCCTCACTCTGTCTCTGTTGAATCCTCTTACCAACCGTACCTGTTCCCTACAACCCAGATCTTCTACAAATAAATAAATGAATCTTAAAAATATATATATAATTAAAATTTGAATTTTATGTGATTACTAGTTACTAAGAAAGTATAATTTAATGTCTAATTGTTACTGTTTTTAAAAAAAATTGTCCTTAGTCATTACTTTAATTATACCTTTATTAGGTGTGGACACAGTTCTGATTTTATTTTGAAATTTATTGGTGTGTTTCATTGGCTGTTATAAGACTGACTTTTAGCAAGCATTTTATGTCTGCTAAGAAATTTTTAAAAGGTAAAATGCTATATTATTCAACTTTTCTCCTTTGCTTTCTATTTGACCTGTCAAATACATAATCATGTTAAAGGAAAAAAAAAAGATATTTTTATTTACGCTAGAAGAACTGGGGTGTAGGTCAGAGGTGCGAGCGGTGAAAGGATTCAGCAGAGACAGAGTGGGGAGCAGAACAGGCAGATCTACTGAAATACACTGCTGAAGGGAGCAGCAAGGAGACAGGAGAGGTCTGCTTCGCCATGTGGGTCAGCTCCCTGGCCAGACTGAACTCAGCCCACAGTGGCTGGTGATAGCTTGATAGAGCTGAGACTTTAACCCCTGCACCACCAGGGAGGTGCAAAAATATTTTTCTAACAAGCAAATGATACCTATCTGATAGTGTTTTTTTTTTTTTAATGTATGTGTGATAATCATCAAAAAGCAAAATTTTTAAAAGATAATTGGTACACAGGAAATATAATCAGCATTTTACCCAGTGTCTAGAACCAGTTATTATAGAAAAGGGGGGATTTATTTTTTAACCTCTGTTATCCCCAAAGCTTTGGTTCTTAACAAGTGAAGAAATAGCTAATGAAGAAAAATATAAGAATATTAAGTTGTCTGACAAATCAATGGCTTAGATTCAACCTCATTTCAAGTATGGTGCAGAAAATATTTTGCCAACATGTATCTTTATACCCAGACCATATTTAGAGAAAATGGTTATATGTGGGTTATCTTCAACTTTTGATATAGTACCTGGATAAAGTTATGCAGTAGTGTAAAAAATAAATTTAAATCTAAATTAGTTTTTAGTAGATGAGTATAGTAAAACACAATGCTTAAATGATAATGAAATAAAGTTTTTATATTTTACCATTTTGTTCTATAATAGCTCCTAATGTATATAAAGCTGCTTCTTTAACCATGCTGTGTTCACTTGACTTTGCAAGATTTCTTATAAACATCAGACCACCAATTTCCCGAAAATAAATACCTGCATTACCTGTGCAGACAAAACAAAGAAGAAACTATATTTTTATTTTGCTTTTTTATTTTTACATTTTAAAAGGATAGGTTTACTAGAAAAAGGTAAAAAAGACAGAGATCTTTATAGTCACAGGCAGGCTGCCTATGCTGATTTTTCTAAGGATAAAAGGAAGAACATGAACATAATTCCGTAACATATAGCGTAAATGAGTAGAAAATAATGTCTCACATATCACAGCACTAAAGAACTGGAATCACAGATTAAAATTCACCATCACTTACTGTTTTGTTGGCAAATTGAATGAATAGTGACCAAAGCTTCCTTTTGTGGAAAAGGGTTGTCCATTTGGTACTTCAGACATTCCAACAGTAAGTTCAGGTCCGTCTTCATTTCTAAAGGGCAAAAATTTAATTACTTGAAACCATGTTTCCTTTCAAAAACCAAACACTTATTTTCATTTTCTAATATACGTCTTTGTAATGTTTGGCATCTTAAATAATAAGCATATGCTACTTTTCTTTTCTTTTTTTTTTTAAGATTTATTTATTTATTTATACAAGCACTGGGTACAGTCAGAAGCGCGGGAGGGTGAGAGGATTCACCAGAGCCAGAGCAGGGGACAGAACAGGCAGACTGATGAAATACACTGCTGAAGGGAGCAGAGGGCGGCAGGAGAGGTCTGTGCGCCATGTGGGACCCTCGCCCGGTGGCCGGGGATTGAACTGGCGCTGCAGAGGCTGCAGGCAGCTTTGCAGCCCAACGCTCAACTGCTGTGCCACCAGGGGAGGCCCAGCATATACTACTTTTACAATCTAACAAACAGTAGTTATATAAGAAGATGCTCTTTAAATAAAGGAACTTGAAGTAAACTTATTAGTCTTCCCTTTGCATGCAATATAGGAATAGAAAATCCAAATATTATCTTTAAATAAAGCCAACATGGGCTTATCCACAAAGACTTATGTATACATATGTTCATAGCAGCACTGTCTACAATTGACAAAGCATAAAACTAACCTAAGTCCATCAACAGACAAGTGGATAAAGAAATTGTGGAATATATACTCAATGTAATAGTACACAGCTACTGAGCCTCCCTGGTGGCGCAGGGGCTAAAGTAAGCACTAGCAAGCTATGGCCAGCCACTGCAGCACAAGTTCGATCCCCAGCCAGGGAGCTGACCCACATGGCGCAGCAGACCTCTCCTGACTCGCCCACTGCTCCCCTCAGCAGTGTATTTTTAGCCTGTTCTGTTCCCCACTGGTGAGTCCTCTCACCCTCCACCACACACCCCTCTGGCCTCCCCCCCAGTTCCTGTATGCATAAATAAATAAAAATAAATCTTTAAAAAATACTACACAGCTATTAAAAAAGATAAAATAGTGTCTTTTGGGGCAAATGGATGGACATCAAGGTGATTATGTTAAGTGAAACAAGTCAGCAATTGACAGACAGGTATCAGGTATCAGATGATTTCACTCATCTGTGTAATATAGATAACAAAAAAAACAGAAACAGAAAAAATAAAACAGAAATAAATTCTGGACTGAGTGAAAGCATTTAATTGTTGCCAGAGGGAACAATGGGGAGTAAAGAGAAGGTGGGGGAGGGAGATGGGATAGAGGCATGGGTGATTTGCTGAAGGGCGAGTTAGAACATGTACACACATGAAGGAGTAAAAACTGTAATCCCAAAATAAAAATAAAATGCCTAGCACATAAAAGGCACTAAATACAAAAAAAAAATCTATGTACTAATTAAAAATTAAAAAATCACTTTTATACAAAATTCTTTAGACTTTAAACAATTTGTTCTTTTGATTTTAAGGATTTAAATAAACTTATATATAGACTGACATAATGCTTGAATTAACATTTAAATTTCTCGATGATCTAATTAATGGGAAGATATATTTTAAAAAAGGAACATACAAAAAGAAATTAACATCCATCATTAATATTTAGCCTTCCTCTTGAAAGAAATACAACTGGCAATTTAGCTAAAAAAAATGTATGGCTCAATTTATTAGTAAAAACCTTGACTATAAAAGTTATCACTAAGTTGTCTTTGAACAACATTTAGGAATTATGTCCTACATTAACAGAAACAATAAGGTTAGTTTGACAGTAAGGCTAATAAACCGCTCTTCATCAGCATGTCAAAGAGGCTTTTTTTTAATGGGGTATGGTGATTTTCAATTCTAGGCACAGCAGCAGAGAGCAAGAAATTTCTTTTTGTATTCCTCTCTATTCCCCTGTGTCCCTTTTCTCATACTTTGATATTTCCAATCTTCATCCCTCCCTTCCCCATCAAACCACCTACTAATGTCTACAACTTGGTTTTAACTTCTCCAGGCTATGTAACCTAATCCCTTCAGTAATTACTGAAGAAAATAAATTAGCAAACAAAAACTGAAGTTTATACAATTTCAAAACTACACACAATAAAAAATTTGGATATACGGGTCTTGCAGTTTTTTGAACTTCAAAAGATATCAAGAATGTGAAAAGATCAACTCACAAACTGGAAGACAATGTCTACAGATATGAAATCCAGTAACAGGCTTGTGTTCAGAATATAAATAGAACTCTTGAAATGCAATAATAAAAAGACATTCAACAGTAAAAATAAGGCTATTCACTTCCACAGTCAATCTCTGTACTCTTGTCATTAGTTAGGAAAGTTCTACCACTGATATTTTCAACTCTGTCATTTCATTTTCTGAATATTCTGTCAACTGTCTTTCTTCTAATATTTATTCCTTGACCCCTAAGAGCTCTAAATTCTTTACTCCTATTCTCCAAGACATTACTTCCTTCCCTATTCATCCCAGATTCTTGGTTCATTACCTCAACCATTATCTTGCTAGGATTTCTCTGACCTCTCTTCTTCTACTGAAAAAGTCCTATAATCCTAACTGTGCCTTTCTTTGCCCGTTAGCCCAATGTGGGCATTGCTGAAGGTAAAAAGCAAGCAATTATAAAATTACAAATAATTGGTATACATTCTCAAGTTCTAACTTCCAGCTTGACTCAGGAATCCTATCCGTGGTCAGCTCTATCTCCCATTCCCTTCTGCTTCCTCACTTGTTTTCCTCAATGGCTATTTATAAGCTTTTTTTTATTCATCTCATTTATTTATTTTTAATATATTTTTTACATTATTTTTCATTTTTGCACAATGTATGCATTTTCATCTTGGTTATATTCCCCATACAATTCCCACCCCCCCCTTATTTTGACTCTAATCCCTAACCCCCACATAGTGTGTTTCTGGTTTATAGTTGCTTGTTGATTTTGATTTTTACTTTATTATATAATTAAGTTTTTTTCCTGATCTCTTATTAGGTTTTCTAAATTCCTGCTATGAGTGAGACCATCTGGTATTTTTCTTTTTCTTTCTGGCTTATTTCACTGAGCATGATCCCTTCTAGCTCCATCCATGTTGCTGCAAATGGCATGAGTTTATCTTTTTTGATTGCTGAGTAATATTCCATTGTGAATATGTACCACATCTTCTTGATCCCGTCATCTATTTTGGGGCATTTGGGTTGTTTCCATAGCTTAGCTATTGTAAATAGTGCTGCTATAAACATACGGGTGCAGGTGCAAACTGGTCCAACCACTATGGAAAGCTGTGTGGAGATTCCTCAACCTACTAAAGATGGAGCTTCCATATGATCCAGCAATTCCACTCCTAGGTATTTACCCAGAGGACACAAACATTATTTATAAGCATTCTTCAAACCTCCAACCCCAGTCCCACATCTTGCTCTCTTCCATTCTATATTTTAGTATGAAGTTCTCCAAAAGTAGACAAGTCAATGATCTGAGTGCAAGTACTTTTTTTTGAGGAGACAGGAAATAGAAGGCAGGTAGAAATTGTTATTATGGGTAACTGGAGCTTGTCACTGGTTCTGTTATGTAATCTCTCTCACAAAGCATCCTACTAAGGTTGACTTCCAGACACCACATTCCTGAATTTCTTTTTACCTTTCTGATATTTTCTGAATCTTTCTTTAAGGGTCCTCTTCCTCAGTCAAGCCCTCATGAATGGGTACATTAAGGAACACCAATCCTCTTTTAACATTTCCTTGTAGGTTAACCTCTTCAATGCCCATGGATTCAATTTCTATCTTCCTCAGGGCAACTCTGATATTTGGACCTCCAGGCATACTTTGATGATGGTCCTCCCAGGTACGCAATGTTCTTGTATACACTTACATTAAATCAGTTATCATGTGATACTCTAATTATTAGCATGCCTTTTCTACTAGGACATCAGTTTCCTGAAGTCAGTATGATAGACACAGAGAAGGTGCTCAATAAATATGTATGTAAACTGCTACACAAGTCTCTACTGTGTCCTGTCAGATAATCCTGTCAGATAATACCACAACTATACTATAAAGCTAATTTCAGATATAAAATGTGTGTATTTCTTACCTTGTATTTTCTTAGTGTCTTCACTTTCCATGCTTGTTTATATTCTTTTTATCTTTCATCTATAGGATAAAGGTTTTTTTTGCAATTGAAATCAGTGTTTGAGAATTCCAGAATTATAAATGCAAAGAGGTAGGAAAATATAGTTTTTCTGAAGCCAGAGGAGTATGAAATGAATCTGCAACTTATTAGATATGTATATTGTTAAAATTTCTGAGAATCAGTTTTCTTGTCTGTAAAACAGAAAATTCCTTCATTAAGAGTTGTTATTTGGCATTAAATTTGAAAACATACCTAAAAATGTATTTGACATTCCTAAGTACTACAGGCATTCATCACATTTTATTAAACAAACACATGAAGGATGGGTTGACTTAATCTAATTGTCCCTACCTCCTTATTTTCTTTCCTATAAACATTCACTCAAAAATTTCAAACTGGGAACCCCTCCATGAATCACAGGTTTCACACACACACATACACACACACACACTTTAGATCTGCAGAAATTTCTCTTCACAAGTTAAGAGTTTTACTAAAAATTTTTCTAACGAACCATGGTTATTTTCAACATAATATTATTTCACCATGATTCAAAAGTTTCAAACACACACACACACACACTTTAGGAATCTGCATCTCTTCACAATCTAAGATTTAAAAAAATTCTAACAACCTATGATGATTTTTGACATACTATTCCACTACTGAACTTAAATTTTTGTTCATATATATTAGAGAATTTTTTTAAATAAGTGCAATCATGATATGATCCTTTACTTCAAAATGTTAAACTGGGGCCTCCCCTGGTGGTGCAGCGGTTGAGCGCTGGGTTGCGAGGCTGCCCACAGCCTCTGCAGCACCAGTTCCATCCCCGGCCACCGGCGAGGGTCCCACCAAAAAAAAAAAAAAAAGTTAAACTGTGGGCCTCCCTGGTGGCACAGCAGGTTGAGTGCAGTGCTATGAGGCTGTCAGCAGCCTCTGCAGCACCGGTTCAATTCCCTATGGGCCAGGGAGATTCCCACATGGCACGGAAGACCTCTCCTGTTTTGCCTGCAGCTCCCCTCAGCAGTATACTTCTGTTCTGCTCCCTGCTCTGTCTCTGGTGAATTCTCTCACCCTCCCACGCCTCTGGACTGTACCCCAGTGCTTGTATAAATAAATAAATCTTAAAAATAAATAAAATGTTAAACTGGTTTAGAAAAATGTATGAATCCAGTTAACTTATACCAATAAATCAGGGTTCAAAGAACTCTAAAATATTATTCCTTCTCACACTAGGCTATACTTTCTATTTTTCTTTCTCACTCTCAAAGTGAAAATAAAATTCCCAAACAAAAAGGTTTTAATATTAATGTGAGAATCTTTTATAAAGTAATATGCAAATATTTACTAATTTTGCCATTTTAAAATCTAAATATTCCATTTAAAGAAGAATGTGCATCAGAGTATATCCATAGTGCTTGAAATGTTTAATAAGAAAAAAATGTTTTTGTTACAATTTTAATCAAAAAGCGCAAGGCAAAATTTTATATACAGTATGATCCCTATTATGTAGAGGCAAACAAAATAAAATGAAGTAAAAAAAAATAGCAACATTATCAACACCTGCTGTCTCTAGCTCGTGGTGTCTTACTCCTGTTTTCTGCTTTTCAAATTTTTTTAGATAAAAGCTTCTAATATTTGGTAAGGCCTATCACACATAGAACTGACTCTGTTCTATAAACTTTATAAACATATTTTTAGTTTTTACAACAATCCTCTAAGGAAACTATACAGATGTATTTAGATGGGAAGAGAGTTAACAATTTGCCCAAATTGAAACAGCTAGTAAGTACCAGAGCTGGAATGGGAACCAAAGATATTCTGAAGCCAGCTTCTATACTCCTTTTTTTTTCTTTTTGGCTCCCCTTTGGGGAACCCAGGTCTCCCGAGTGATCTGTACTCTTATCCCCTAATATACTGTCTTCCATATATAAATAGGCATCACTTTTGAGCAAATGGACCAAGATATAGAAAACTCAATTTAAAAAGTAAGATTGGGGCCTCCCTGGTGGCGCAAGGGGTTAAGACACAATCTATGAAGCTGTCTGCAGCCACTGCAACATAAGTTCGATCCCCAGACCCAAAGCTACCCACATGGCGCAGCAGATCTCTCCTGACTCGCCCGCTGCTTTCCTCCGTTCCCCATTCTGTCTCTGGTGAATCCTCTCACCCCACCCCACACCTCTGGCCTGTACCCCAGCTCTAGTATGAATAAATAAATCTTTAAAAAAAATTAAAAAGATAAATAAAAAGTAAGATTTTTAAAAAAAAAATGGAACCATTTTATCATGTGAGGTTTTTGCTTTGTGAGGGAGCTTGAGGACTAATTCCTTAGTTTTAATTAGTCAATCTAATCTTTTTTGTTATAATTGTGAAAAGGGATATAGCTTTGAAACCTAAATGACTTGAAATTGAAACTAACAACATAAATTATCTCCCATTCCCTTCTGTCTTTCTTACATTGTTTTCTAATGGTTATTTTGCACAGAAAAATAAGATACTTTGTGTAAGTACCTAGCAGCATTAACTGAAGTCATCTATTTACTAGTTAAGTGCTTAAAAAATCCACTACAAAAGACAAGTTATAACTTTCAAAGTACTGAGTATTATAAAATTACATTTAGGGCCTCCCCGGTGGCGCAGCGGTTGAGCGCCAGGTTGCGAAGCTCCCCGCAGCCTCTGCAGCACCGGTTCGATCCCCGGTTGCTCCCCGGCCACCGGAGGAGGGTCCCACACGGCGCGCAGACCTCTCCTGCCGCCCGCTCCCCTCAGCAGTGTACTTCGGTCCTTCTGCCTGCTCTGCTCCCCGCTCTGGCTCTGGTGTATTTTCTCACCCTCCCGCGCTTCTGACTGTACCCAGTGCTTGTATAAATAATTAAAAAATTACATTTAAAACTTTAAAAGTCTATTTCCAAGAACAAAAACATATGCGCAATTAAGCAGGTGAAGTGTTTGGTGATTTGGTGAGTAGGTGCAAACTGTAAAGTACAAAAAGATTTCAAAAACCTTTTCTGTACTCTCACAGAAAGAAAAAAGAATTTTTCCAGGAAACAAGAAGAAATGATCCTATTTACAAGTTTCACTCAATCTACACCCCCAAACAGTAGTTAACTCAAATTCAATTTGAAGCAAGAAACCTGGCTGAACATTATTACCATGTTACCTGATCTAAAACATGCTAAGATGAAAAGCTTCTGAAATCTAAATAGCACCCCACGTGTCGGAAAGATAAGGAACATCCTTCTGGGAAAGGCAGGCGGGCTGGAAACCCCACCACTAATTCCTACTCAGTTGCGGACAGTGACTATCCAGCCTGGACCCAGACCCAGTGGGCGATTTCCTCGCATGCAGGAGGGGCACGGGAGGAGCAAGGACGCCAGAGTGTGTCCTACGGATCTTGTTTCCGAAGTTTCTAGCTTGAGCAGCAACAGCCAGGCCCAGAGAACTATCGGGGTGCGGGGAGTCAGCTGACGAGACCTGGACCTGCACCCCGGCCCGCAGGGCCCGCGCGGGCGTCTCGAGGGCAGGCCAAGCCCACCCTGCCTCCTCGGCCTCTGCTCGCCGCCGTGGCCTGGCTCACCTGGCGTGCAGGACGAGCTTTCAGAAGCACAGGTGGTCCCGGGGGCTCTTCTCGGGCCAGGAGCCTCACTCCTGCAGGGGGCGGGAGCCGGTGAGTCGGGGTCTGGCCCACGCAGGGGTTCTCCAGCCGCGGGGGGGGGGGGGGGGCGCCTCTGAGATCAGAGGTCGGAACAGCCCCCTCCCCCCACACCCCCCAGGACACGCCGCTCAGCAACGGTCCCCGCCCCCCCAATAAACACCCCCAAAGCCGCTGTAGGCGCCCCGAGGGCCGCGGCCCTGACCAGAGCAGGCGGTGGTTCCCCCCAGACGGGCCCTCGGGACCGCGCCCCCGCCAGCGCAGCCTCCCCTCACCCGGGCCGGCGGGAGGGGCGCAGCAGGGCCCCGCGCCTTCCAGGGGCGCGCAGAGGCCGCGCGGCCCCGACGTCACCCTCAGGCGACAGACAGGCCGCTGCCTCGGCCCCGCGACGCCGACCCGCTTTCCCGCGCGAAACCTCCGAGGCCAGCGGGGCAAAGCGTGCGGCGCTTCGTCTTTGGCTGGTAGAAAGTCAAACTGGCAGGGAAAAGACCCTGTTCCCGCCGCCCCGGCTGGGGGGCGTCCTTCCGCGGAGAGCCGTTGAGGGGGTTAAGGGAGAAGCGTCCCTGTCAGCAAGGGCTGCTCACAAGCACTGCGCGTGCGCAGGCGTTAGAAGGGGGCGTGGCCACCAAGCCCCGCCCTCATCCTCTTTCCCAAGCTTCCCTGCGCGTGGCGTCCTCTCTGTCCTCGGGTTTTGCATCTCGTTGATAGGTCCCCCTACAGACACCAGTGCGCCCGCTGTGTGGCCTCTGTAGCCTCTGCTACCTCAGGAGTTCAGCCCAGGGACCCTCCCCTACCAGAAGGGCCAGGGATCCCGAGCCTCAAGGAGCCCAAAGATTAGCATTTTCTATGTTGTCTCATGTCTCCTCCGTAAAAAAATACCCCCCGGGAATGTTGGCAGATGAACAAGAGATACTCTCAGGGTGCAGTGCCTGCCCTGGGAAATGTCCGCTGATACAGTGAGATCAGGAAGGGTCCAGGAAAAAACCGAACCCGTGTGAAGCACTATTTTGGCACATCTAATAAAGGTTGTTGCCTGGGAGACAATGGTCTTGGAGACTGAGGTGCAGTTGGTTTAGCAGCCATAAGGTGTTGACAGTCATGTGACATATTCCTCAGCCATAAATAAATCAGAAACTGGGCAGTGGGCCCCGTTCATGATTTCCTCTCAGTCAGCTTCTAATTTCATCTTAGTGTTTGGTTGGCTTTTGTTTCTGGTATGCTGGTGAATGCTATTAGTTCAATGTGATTATTCTTTAACAGAAATTTAACATTTTATGTAGTATAGATGGAATGAACCCTTAGAATTTTCAAGTGGCAGAACCTAAATCAGTTTAAAAAACACCACATACTAGAGGATGGTCTTGTTTTCTGATAAAACTGATACACCTTAAATATTTGACTTTCAAAATTTCATCAGATTTAATACTTATGATTCTAAGATGTCTACAGCTAAAATAGCTCAAATTTGTTAGCCAGAAAAAAAGTATTTTCAACTATTTCTAATGAAACACAAGAGATTCCTATGAATAGCAACTTTGAAATAGCAAGCCAGTAGTAATAATTCAATGAGAAATGGATAGTTTTTATTCTGAGAAAAACCCAAAAAGAACATACCCCATTACAAATGAAAAAAATGTTTATTAAGGAAACAATTTAACAGTTCCCTTAGCAGAATTTAACAGATAAAGGAGAACCTGAAGACAATTACACTTTCAACCATTATTAACACAATCATAGGGTATTTATTCTACAGTTGGAAAGTTGCTGAAGTTTGTGACATGCCACTATAGATGTAAGTATTGTTAAAAATTACGAATTGTTTGGTGATTATTTTGATAACCTCTTGAGCAGCAGCTCCTACAAGGAAAAGGGAGATAAGCAAATTGTTGAAAAAGGTAAATTTCAAAAGTTACATAAAAATATTCAATTCTCTGAAGAAACCTTTCCTTTTGAAAAAGCAAAGATAAGTTTAAAACAGACATAGCTGGGCTCCCCGGTGGCGCAGCGGTTGAGCGCTGGGTTGTGAAGCTGCCCGCAGCCTCTGCGGCGCCAGTTAGATTCCGGGCTGCTCCCCGGCCACTGGAGGAGGGTCCCACATGGCGCGCAGACCTCTCCTGCCGCCCGCTGCTCCCCTCAGCAGTGCACTTCATCAGTCTGCCTGTTCTGCTCCCCTCTCTGGCTCTGGTGAATTCTCTCACCCTCCCGCACTTCTGACTGTACCCAGTGCTTGTATAAATAAATAAATAAATCTTTAAAATAAATAAATAAATAAAAAATAAAACAGTTTACTGAGTCATATCAAAATAAAGGACTACAATTTTTTAAATTGTATTAAAGGAAATTTTTATTATTCTATTATTCCATGAGCTGTTATGCTACAGTTTAAAAGAATAAATATTTTTAATTATAGTGATTCAGAAAGGTTGGTAAGATATATTAAGTAAACAAAGCCAAAGTCAAAAGAGTAGTATGGCTGAGTGTACTTTTTTAAAAGCTAATAGGCCAAAAAGATTCTTGGAGAACACCTTTATATTGCATTTGAATTTTACCTTGAGCCTATTTTACATTTGTAATAAAAAGAGGAACAAAGGAATATTTGTTCAAAATACACTTGTAGTGTGGAAAAGGATTTATTATTAAATACTGCTAGACTGCTGTAGATACTCAAAACAAAAAAGGAAAGAAAAAAAGCAAGAAAAAGTTTCATCTTTCACAAACATTCATAATTTGGTAAAATCTGAGACTCTATTATATACCAGATACTGTTCTATGCACTAGGGATACCATAGGGAATAAAGGACAAATATCTTTGCCTTTGTGGATCTTACTTTTTAGTAGCCAGAGAGAAATAATGTACAAATAGGTAAAATGTGCATCTAATGACCCCAAATGCTAAAGAGGGTTATCTGAGTGGAAGAAGAGGGACTCAGTTATAAATCAGGGAGTCAAAAACAGTCGTACAGGGAAGATATCAGTTAAAGACATGAAAGAAGTGAGGGAATATAGTGGCATCGTGCATAACATCTCGTGGAATAACAGAATAATAAATGTATGTGTCCTCCACAATTCCTATGGTGAAGATTTGACCCCCAACGTGATAGAATTTGGAGATGGAATCAGGGTCTCGAGGAGGTAACTGAGGTTAGAAGTTATGGTAATAGAGGCCTCGTGATGGGATTAGATTATCTCTTATAAGGATAAGAGACTCAGGAAGTTTGTGTTCCATTAGTTCTCTCCCTGTGCAAAGAGGTTATGTAAGCACACAGAAAGATGACAGTCACCCACAAGTCAGAAAGAGAGGCCTCATCAGAAAGTAACAATACTGGCCCACTGATCTTGAAGTTTCAGTCTCCAGAACTTGAGAAAACAACTATCTGTTGGTTAAGTCACTGATTCTATGGTATCTCATTATGGTAACCTAAGCTAATACAGCATGGTAATTTAAAACTTCAATTTTTACCTTTTAAAATATTTGTTTTCCTGCTATAGGCAAATCTCCAGTCATCTAACCTCTCTGGTTGTGTCTATTTGTAGAGTCTGTATAAGTAATTTTCGCCCTTTTCTGGAAATGACAGGTTAACTTTGCTAGTCTGGTACAAGAGACTTGCTTTTAGTTTAGATTACCCAGAATCAGGCTTCAATTTGAGTTTGCTACAAATAAAGTTTTCTTACATATGTACATTTACTTATTTACATTTTGAACACTCTTATTAATCAGACTTGGATCAGCCTTCAAATGTTAATTATCTAGAAGGAATACATTACAAGCAAATAGCTCAGTCTAGAGAGTAATTTTTTTAGAGGGATGTACAGTAATGGAGAGAGATGTAGGGAGTTATTATGAACAGGATGGTACTTCCGAATTGGGTGTTAGACAAGTGGATTTTAGACCTGTGGGTAACAGGGACATTAAAGGCCATTGGGCCCAGAGAAGTGAAAATTTAAGGAGCAGGAAATCAACGTGTATGTCTGGGGGGGAAGTAATTAATTTGATAAAATTAAAAGTTTTTAGTATCATGTGAACCTGGACTTGTTTTCTGAGGTACATTGTAATGTGGGGCGGGGGTGTGAGTGTCCACTGGTGGGATGGTGGGTTAGTTAAGAGAGAGATGCAATCAGAGCTCTGCTGTTTGAAGATTAATGACTCTTTAGAAGTTTACAGGGACCGTAGTAGGAGAGATGCAAGCAGGGAGACCAGCGCAGCAGCTAAAGAAATAATCTGAACTGAACATCCTGCTTCACTGACCTTCCTAATTAAAGCAGCTAAAAAGCCAAAAACTTCTTATTGAAATAATAACTGAACTACCTAACAGCAAATGACAGTCTTCTCATCTTTGCAACTCACCCCCTAAGAATGCAGCAATGGTGTGTGGCTCAGCAGCTCCATATCGGCAACTATAGGAAAGGGCAGAGACAGGAACTTAGATTATTTTAGAACGGAACAGGTATTATCTGTTATATGCCCTTAAAAAATACTCACAATTCATGGACATAATCATCTTTCACCATTACAGATAATCCATATTCCTGAAGGAAGCCAGTGAGACAAGACTTCAACTTTCCTATATCTTCTTCAACTTGATAGTTAGCTATCCCTAAAATATAAATTAATTTTCATTGAAATACTTAAGTGATTTAAATCTAATGAATACACCACCTCCTTTATTTAATCCAGTTTTAGGTATTCTAGTCAAAACTCAGTTGTAAATCTGAAGAATAAAAAGAACAAAGTGTGAGACCAACATTTACAAATATCACAATCTCTAACAATCAAGGAAACTATCTAAAATCTATTAAAAATTCAAGTTGGGACTCCCTGGTAGCCTAGGGGTTAAGTCTCAGCACTATCACCACTATGGCCTGAGTTTGATGCCCAGTCAGAGAGCTAACCCACATATGGTGCAGCAACCTCTCCTGTCTTGCCCGCTGCTCCCCTCAGCAATGTATTTCAGTAAATCCGCTTGTTCTGCTTCCAACTCTGTCTCTGGTGAATCCTCTTACCCCTCCCCACAAACCCACACCTCTGGCCTATACCCCAGTTCTTCAACACAAAAAAAGTAAATAAAATTCAAGTTTAACTAAGTCTGCTTTGTTCATTGCTCTATACCCAGTATCTGGAAATATCTGGTATATACTGGTGCTCAATTAACTATTTGATAAAATGACTGAATGACAAAGTAATGTCTTATTTATACCCTTTATAAAAATTTATTATCCCTTTCCAGGAGATTAAATGACACTGAAGACACAGTTATTGTAACAGGCAACATTTACTAAATATTCATAGATGACAGACACTGTTTTAAGCATTATATGTAAAAATTGAGTCAAGTTTCACAACAACCCCAGGTAGTGGGTACTATTATTATCTCCATTTTACAGAGAGGACTAAGGCAGAAAATTATTTGCCTGAGTTACTCAGCTCATAAGTAGCAAAACTGGGATAGAAGTAGTTCTTAATGGGGCCTCCCCGGTGGTGCAGTGGTTGAGTGCTGGGTTGCGAAGCTGCCCGCAGCCTCTGCGGAGCTGGTTCAATCCCCAGCTGCTCCCCTGCCACTGGGTGAGGGTCCCACATGGCGCGCAGACCTCTCC